TCAACAATGAATATATATGAACTCTTTAATAATCACTTCATGGTTAAGGCAATTCTCAAAATGTAAGAAAATGATGTGTTCTGCTTCTAAAATACAGAGTTACTTATAATCTTTGTATCAACTTTTATATCTTTGATCTGTCAAACTAGACATTTAAGGACCTTAATTCATGAATGTCTTACTGTTCAAAAGTTGAAGGTATGACTGCAAGTTGCATCCAAAGATTATTTTCTAAAACAGTTCAGACAATAATATCTAAACATCTTTTTTTTTTTTTTTAAATTGTAATTGTTCCTCAAAGTTCACAGTGATTTCTTTAAATAATTTTTTTTTTTAATAATAAGGAGAATATTTCCACATTCTCTCAACTAAACAGTTATTGTATGTTGATTGACTCACTGCAGCTCAAGTTAAAAGGCTGCAGAAGCATTTCTAGAAATAGATGGAGAACAAAAAAAAGGTAAGGCACAAAGCCATGGCTATAAAATAGATGGAAACCAGACATATCAGTACAAAACTCAAACCATCTGTTTTTGAAGAGGACCTTTGTCCCATGTTGGTATCTCTTTCTCCATTCCTGTTGCGGTACCATGTCAACTAACTAATACAAGTAAAAGAGAGCACTGCCTCTCATTCACCTCATTTCATTTTGAAAGTATGACATTTTCAGTATCTTGAATCAGCATCAAAATAAAAAGACCTAGACAGAGAGATTCAGTACAGGATGGCTGGTAGAATAGAATCCTCATCAGTTTTGCCGTTTCAAAGCCCGCCAGCCACTCCTCTCTTGTGCATCAGCCAACTGTATATAGACAGACAGGCAGTCAATATAATGCTGAGAGCCCGGGGGCCGGATCAGTCATCCTGCCTCTGACCGGCGGGGTGAGCTGAGGTCAGATGGACAGTGATCCCACACCTCGCCTGCCTCTGACAGCCAAACCCCTGAACTGACCAAACCACACACACAGTATTCACGCACAGGCTCAATACTGAAACAAACGATGGCATCTCTCTCTCGCATATCAAGAGGCAGAGCAAAGAGGAGAACAGGATATGCCAAGCCTGTTAACATAAACAAACACGCCTTTATAGGTGCTGTGCACGCTGATTCACCTCAGACAGACATGGATCAATAACTAACTTGATCAAAAGATACTGCTTAGTCATTGGAGATAGCGGCTACACAAAGCAAATGGGGAAAGTTACTACTACGTATGCCCCTTCTGCTTTTATACAGGAACTCGCACACGTTTCCCCATTATCTACAGTTCTGCCCCACCCTTTGCTGCGAATATAACCTACATGAACAATGCTGCAAAATGTAGCAGAGAACATTAATGCAAATGCATGCAGTGAATCATTGATTAAAGGAAAGCTTTATGTTGGCACAGCAGAACGTTTTGGGATGGCATTCATGGCTACCAAAGTGAGCTATCAAACAGACTCGGAAAGTGCTGAATAACTCTTTCAATAATTACAGTGCACTGAGCCTACCTTCAGCCCCAGACAGACAGAGGGCCTAAAATTGCAGCGCCAGCGTCCACCGCTTTATCCTAATGGGCAGGAGAGTGCCAGCCTCTCCAAACCACAGAGACAAGAGTAAAAACACCACCCTGTCTCACCATCCCACCGCTGAACAGCCAGAAGCAACACAGGAGAGGCACACAAACTGATGGCGCATGATGAAATACAGTTAAATCCAGAATGTCATCCTAAACAGATTCAGTAAAGCAGGCAGGAGCTTGGATTGAATTTCCCTGGGTGTGGGCTGGGGACTGACACAAGCTGCAAAAGCAGCTGACTTCCAAGCAGATGCAAATTCCCTCTGCAAGAGCTGTGCTTCCCAGCCAGCTGCCCTCATGTTGGGGTGAGTTCTAAGACAACGTACACGCTAAAAGAAAAAGCACAATATCCCTTCGTAAAGATTAAATGGCTAACCTTTTCTGGTTCCAGCTTTCCAAAATGTGAATATTGTCGTGTTGTCTTAGTCCTATAATAATATTGCATTGGAATTATGTGGGGCTTTTTGTGGTTGGTCATACACCACAAAACTTCTGATTTGGAGATTTTTTATGGGGCATTCTTTGTTGGAAAAAAACAAACTTTGGATGGCTCCAGGTTCTTAAAGGGGAAGATATACTGCTATTCCTCATGTTACGTTATATTACATTGATTATTCTTTGGATTTGGGCTAATTGTCAGACTAAACAAGACATTTGATTATCATCTTGGTTACATTTTATGCTGTAAATAATAAAAGCATTAGTTTTGCGAGGCTTGCATCCATAACCACTATAACATCTCACAGCTGCAAAGATGCACATGAACCCATGCTAAACTGAGTTAGCCCAAATCATCAGCCCCTAGATGTAATAATCCAACAGCATATCCCAACATGCAACAGGGTGAAGCTGACACCACAGACAGCGAGGCTAGTTGTTGTTCACAGGGCTGTCATCTCAGATACAAATCAACATGTTGGCAAGAAGGCTAAGGTTGTTGAAATCCGACAGCCTTACAAGCTTGAGAAAAACTCATGTAGTTTAGAATAAAGCATGTATGGGGTTAGCTTTGATTCCCAATCTGTTTTAAAACACAACAAATGTTCCCAAGTCAACCACTTGCTTTTCTCTCATGCCTGAAACAAACAACTGCAGCCCCCCCATTGGGAATGACAGGCCCGCCTCAGTCATAAAAGCAGGCACTTTCAAGTTGGCTTAAGCAGAAGAGATAATATACAACAAACTAAAGCCACCCAGTGCACAATCAGATCATACAAATAATAAACCTTTGTGATTGGGCAAATACAATCTCATCACTATTTAACTATGAAACCTAATTCCTTGTCACACATCCTGCTAAATGTTGTAAATCATTAAGCTTTTGTACAACTGGTCATAAAACCCTGTACAGGCCATTCAGGATTTTGAAGTGAGACATGTCTTTGCATAACGCTTGTGGTTTCTTTTTTAACCCCCATATCCGATCCATTGAAACTGGTTCAAGGTTATAGGATGCAGTGAAACGACAACTATTTTGAGTCCCTCTTATTGTTGCCTTGGCCTTTATGAATAGGAAAAGGAAGCGGGGTTGTTGACAGCAGTGTGCAGATTAAAAACACTGGCTGTGTTCCACTGCAAAGGCCAGATCTGGGTACTTTCACCAAACCTGAAAGGCAGGCCGAACCGGTTTGTGTTCGATAATTCTGCCTCTAGACAATCTCTGTGGGGTCTCGAAGACAACAGCTGATTAACTTGTCACAACAGATGCTAATATACTTGATATGTTAAATTGGTTCAGCCCTTCTACTGCACTTCCTCTTCTAAATCCCATAACAAATCTAATAGAAAGTTGGATCTCTCTGGGGCCTATGTGACCTAAAAAACAGTCATGCAACACACACACTATAAATTACTTGTTATGGGCAACCAAAAAGGAACATACACACCATAACACAACCTAAGCAGTGAACATTTATTTTGTTTAACTATTATTTTTGCACATCTTGTCTGTTAGGGCTCCATATATTTAAGGAAGTTTGGCCAGTCTCAACGAAACACAAGAGTTAGAAAGGCAAAATGATTCAAGATGTGAAAAGATTAAGCACATGATGGCTGACTGGAACCAGTTACTGATGATAATCTAAGTGCAAATACCTGATAGCAATAACATGATTGTGGGATAATGGGGACAAGCAACAACACAACAATTGAGTCCTTCAAATGCAGGCAAACACAGCATCAGTGACCCTTAAATAAGCTATTGGAGTTGAGCCAGTGGGTGCAAAAAGGTGTGAGGGAAAGAACACCATTATTCACACTTGGTTTCACACCCAGCCAGGTGACAAACTCCTCAGCAGCACACACCCTGACAGTAGTAACCTGATGGTGTTCAAGATACTACAATCTCCCTAATGAGTGGCTGTATGTCAAACTGCCAAAGAGAGAGTCACTGCTCCCCTCCCCAAACTCTGCTTATTTAATGCAGCCCCTGAGCCAAAACCTGGAAGATAAACTGCATCTCTCCATCACTGAAATCTGCAGACGATGCCATCCGATAGTCTGCCTCTGGATTTCCTTCCTTTTCTCGTCTTATGCTGCCAAATCGTGAAAGCCATCACTCCACGTGCAGGGATGCAAATGAAAACAGAGATGATGCTTATCATGGAACACGAAATGGGATTTAGGTGTCCAGACAGGAAGCCCTGGGTGCAATCTACTTAATAAATTAAAAAAATCAGTGGTGTATGACATGCGGCTGATACATTTGAGCATTTATTTTTACACAATACATAACCTTCTTGATGTCAAACAAACGGAATGCCAACATGACAACCTTTTGACAATTCAGTGCATTTACATACGTTTTAACACCAGTTCAAGACACATGGGATACTTCAAACTCCCATGTGTCCAACACTATCAAACCTCGTGTTGTTTGATTCCCTGTCAAGGAGCCCTATAGGTGGTCCCTGGACCCCACTTTTTGAACCATTGTCATGAGAGCTTCTGGTTGTTGTTTTTTTCCAAGCATCAAGTGGAGCTTTAATAATACCAATTGTCTCTGTGACCAAACACGCTGAATTCTCCCAGGTTTAGCCAAAGGCCCCGTTTAGCCACACAGAACAATAGCGGTGCACGGCGGTTGCAGCTTGCTGAGGGGCACAGTCAATAAATTAAACCCGATCCAACTAACAACCGTACCAGCTGAGACTTGTCACCACTGTACACTTCAATAAATAGCGTTTTGAGAGCAAGAAACCACCGCCTAACCGACGCGAGCCAAGCTAACGTTACACATCCATCATCACAAACAGGGCGTTTGGCTTCAAAACAAATAATGTGTGGTTCATTTCAAATGCATGCCATAAAAAGAGCACGAGTTTCGCTTAGCATAACAGTCATTCTGGAAGTAGTTTAGGGATCAAAATAGCACAAAGAAACAAGAAGGGGTTTCTGCGTAACTTGAATAAACGTTACAACGTGATGAATTTAACGTACCTTCCAAACCGCCGGCTCTGGCGTTGAAGAATAAACTAACAGTCCCAGCCTTTCGGTCCAGCTCTGAGGATGAAATGCACTAAATATGTCGACAGAGCCGTAAATTTCGCGACTAACAATAACCCCGCGCAGTCAGGAGCCGAGCGTCCATCTCCGTGTCCTTCCCTCCACGTTTGAGCAGCGGCAGGCGGCGGCAGGATGACTCGGGGCGGGGAGATGCAGATTAAATCCCGCCGGCGGTCCAATCAACAACGCGAGATTGATGATTATGCAAAACAGGAATGACGTCAACGTTGTGACGTCAAAACCTTATTTTGCACATTTTCGCTTTTATTACAAATATTACAAATTAGAAAGCAATCAAAACGAAATCTGCATTTTATAAATATTTTACTTGAAATGTTACATTTGGTTTTTATCACTATTTTCTTTATATCTCTAATAAATAATGTTTGATTTACATATATATTTTTCTTTAAACAAATAATGGAAAAGTGTGGTAGGGCTCCCACATTCACAAGAAGACATTTACTGACTCAAGCCATACACATTTTTACCAAGAATTACAAAAAATAAGAAGGCAAGCAAAACCAAATGATTATTTGATAAATATTTGTACTTTAAATGTTACCTTTTGGTCATCACTATCTCTTTCTTTATTTCTTTATATTTTTGTATTCCATTTTTCACACATTTTATGTATCCCTGAAGTCAATGTTTTGTGTGTATATAATGTTCGATGTACATATATATATTTTCTTGAATAAAGGAGGAAAAAATAGGGGAACACAGTGTGGTACGGGGCCACCTATTGTCCTTTGGGAGAAACTTAATTGTTTTAAAAAACTGAGGTCAGAGAGTGGTTTGTTGTAGATTTACAGTGCTGGAGGAAGTACTCCTAAGAAAAAAGTAAAAGTAAAAGTATTCGTAACTTTGAGTTGAATAGTCATTTTCCTTTTTCACAAAAGGGTTTTCTGTTCCCAGAGATCTAGATAGTTGGAAGTATGCCTGAATAAAACTGATCCTTTCAGATTGATAAAAGTTTCTGCTTTTGTAGTTAAACACAGTGTCCACTTCCCTATGGTACAAGCCCACAAAAGCTGCAAGCTGAATGCAGTTTTGAGCTGCAGCTGCAGGCACCACAATAGAAATCAATGAAAAGGAGGAAGACATACAAAGACTATTGGAACTCACAGAGAGAAGAAAGAGTGAATGGAATAAAGACATCTGACATAAACTGTTGTTTTCTCCAACAAAGCTCGGGGAGGAAGAATGGAGATATTTCGAATAAAAAGTTTTTGGTAAAAGAGAAATCTAATACTCTCTGAGAGAAGGAAGGAATGAAGGCTAACCAGAAAGCATCAACATAGGATTCGTCAGTGAACACATTCTCAATGAAGAGTGAGAGTGTGTGAGTCACGTCTCCATCCCTGCTCTGTACAGGATCGTGGCAGATATTTCATCAGCAGTCTGTCAACCTTTCCAATCCACGAGGGACACCCAAAACTCTCCCCAAAGTTTCACTGTTTATTCAACTAAAACCTACATTTAGTAGGCTGTTTTTATATTTAAAGATGTTTTGCAGCTGAATTGTTTAAAACAATGCATAACTGAAACAATGGTGCACCACAACCACAACTATGTCAGTAAACAGGTTTCGGCTCCTTCTTTGAACTTGGCACTAATGGCACTAATCATCATATCAAAGAGCTGAAAAAGCTGCAATATTCACCTCACATCCTGCCCATCCATTTCAGATTGCTCCATAATGTTGTTACACCAGGGTGTGGCTCAGAACTGGGCTCTAGTAGAAATCCAAAAAAAAGTTAGGATAGACTGATAATATACATATACAGTGCTTTTATTTGTAGGCTTAGTTCTTTAAATGTTTTTCTTTGGTGAGGTGGTCTGGCCACACATTTGCCAAAACACCTCGTAGCGTAGACAGATGCACACACTGCCTGTGGCACTAAGCACACTTTGCAAGCCCAGTGACTCAGTATTATAAGATACAGGACAGGAAAAGGAAACTGCTGCTGCTGCAGGCTTGCAGTTTTGATCTGCGGTGCATAGTTAATATAAAATAACCTGAATTTCTAACAGCAAGCTGACTGGATTTCAGGCTGAGATCAAATCAACATCAACAAAGCACCACGCCCGACATCAGCAAACTGAAACTACAAATGATAGACCATTAGAAGCTTCTGGAGCAAGACTTTACCTCTGTAGTTAAAGCAGTTCTGCATATGTACACATCATGTCCTCTTAAAATGAAATGAAACATATTTATGAAGTGCATTCAACTATGAATCCTACATCTCCTTCCATCTCACAAAGTCTGGCATGAACCACCAAGGCGTGGTTAGAGCAGTACATAATGTATGATGATATTAGGGTTAAGTGGATGGAAGGCAGAGATGTGCTACATCAACTGCCAAGCCTCACTTGGGAAGTTCAATAACCAGGAAATGAGCTCATCATATCGGACTGCTCAAAAAAAAAGTGTATTTTCCCCTCTCTGCAAGCTCTGTGCTGCAGCCTGAAACTGAAACAGCTGTGTTTGTGTGCTGGATTGAAGAATCATAGTTTATTCTTTAAATTATTAAACAACTTAAAAACCTTTTGTTGTTGTTGTGATCTTATGTGATCTAACATGTTCATAACTTTCATTTAACCCTGTCTCACTTATAAAATAGGTTTTCAATCTCAATGTTACTTCCAAGTAAAAATAAAGCTTTTATGCCAACAAAGCAGATAATACAAATGTATTACTTTAGTACTATGTTAAACAGATCAGTATCCAGCTACTCCCTCTTCTGACAACCCATAGGAACTGCACCTAAGTCAAGTTACTGCAGATGAAATAAAATCATGATATGAAGTGAAACACGACAATGTTTTAATATCAAAGACGATCGAGTAGATAGTTTCCAGACATCTAGAGTCTCTAATGTTGTACAGTTAAAGTCCTGATTTTATGTAGAAAAACATCAAACTGTAGGAAAGGTACATCTACATCATTTTAAATAATGCATGCCTAACATATCATTTAATGTGAAGGCCATTGATACATTTAAGACACTTCTCCATCTAGATCCATCAGCATATTCAGCTTAAATAGGACATTGCTTGTTTATTATGTGGAATAAGATTACTGAAAAAACACTGTTGTTTAACCTGTTACTGCTTGAACCAGAGATAATCTCTCTTAGAAACTATACCTGAACTATTTTCCTGACAAGGAACCTTCTAGACTCGAGAGTTTGAGACTCTTTGTGTGCGCTTTATGAGGTATAATAAAAAAATCAAGCCTCTACTCTCTACTAGAGATTAAGTCACTGGAAAACTGTTTTCGACAAGACATCATTATGCAGACAACAACATGACAGTAAAAGATGATTCAGTGTGACAGGGCATTATTACAGAAGTGCAATTATGTTTATGCAATCATTCAGTTGCCTTCTTGTTAGCCTAACCCAGGGGTGTCAAACTCAAGGCCCGGGGGCCAAATCGGGACCGCCACCTCATTGTATGTGGCCCACAACAGCTTGCAAAGAATATAATACGTTTATTATAAGGTTACGTGCCGCTTTACAGGAGGACGTTGCCCATAAACTACATGTCCCACAATGCATCTCATTTTGTGAGATGCGCACTGAAGAGACTTGCAATTATTTGCCCTAGACTTCTGCTTTTAGACGTAGTTAATTATGAAGTTATTACCCTATCCGATAATAATCCAATGCAGAGGAAATATTGTTAAATAATACATTATTTTATATATATTATAGATATTTATCTATGTATATTTATATAGTCTTAAATGTACCACCGGTCCTTCGAGTGCAACCATAATTCTAATGTGGCCCGCGATGAAATTGAGTTTGACACCCCTGGCTTAAACCCAGCTCGACTTTGTCGGATGATTCAAGTCATTTCTCTCTTAAAACACGCCAGATACAACTACAATCAGTATAGAATTGAAGGTAAGGGCTATTATGTTTACCTTATAATGAATGAAGTAAGGCATCATTAAAGGAACATGCCCATGGGTCTGAAAGAAGAGCTTTCCTTGTTGTAGATAACCACAGGCAATGTTGAGTGCTTCATTATAAACATAATAGTGATGAAAGCTCAGTTGAGTGCAATACATCACACAAGCTGTACAACAATAGTAGTATCCACATTTGAAGGCAGCGTGACGCTTGTGCAGTAGAAAAAATCAAAGTGTTTGAAACTCTATACAGAAGGTGCAGTTCACGGGACAGAAAACAAATCAATCCCACATCTGAAACCTCAAACTGTACATCTGCTTGTGGTCCTTTCTTACCACATTGTTCTGACTTTGGATTTGGGGTTTTTACCGAACGAACCCTGCCACGTTGATTTGTTTGTCTCGGGGTTAAAACAAATAAATAAAAACTACTGGCCCAATGTTAATAGACTGGGTGAAATAGATACACATGGGCTAAGTAAGAACCCATTTTATTTTGGAATGGATCCAATTCATTGGGGCATACACAAGCATTCATTTTCACTTATGGAAACAGCCTTGGCAGAGGTCAGTGCTCTCCAAGGGCCCTTCTATCTTTTGTATGAATTGACTTGTCCCATTGTATCTTCTGCCAAGTAGTTCCTAGAGCAAAGAGTTTGTATAGAATGTAAAGGATATTATGGTATTGGAGTAATTGAGTGTAGGAAAAAAGACAAGATGTTGGCTGTATTTTGTGATATGTATAAGAAACTCTTTAAGAGGTAAACATTTTTAAATACTATAAAAACAAAAACACTAAAAACAAAAACAGCACCATGTATACACTACTTCAGTCTTCATCATGGCACCTGTACCCACTCAGTAAATTGTGCCTCATTAAATACATTATAATAGATACGGTACTCTTTTTAAAACCAACAAGGAACAGATAATTGTCTGTGCTTTAGTCATCCGTGATGCCTGTCCGTACAGAAGCAAGGTCCAGTCCTGCATCAGCCCCGTGTTTCTTCTTCATGGACATAAAAGACAGGCGTAAGATGTTTTTACTCATTCCTTCCAGGTCATGCTTCAGATGAGTGATGAGGTTTGACCCAGATACACAGCATGTTGGTACAGAGACATTCAGCATCAGGAGTGTGCAGTGTCTCACTGTGGTCAGCAGGGGGGGGTAGTGATGCTTCTGAGGTCACTGAGGTCAACTTCAGTTCACAAGCAGGACATCCTCATATGACGTCGTTCTGGAGGAAATAACAAAACAAATTAAACAATCTTTCTTAAACCATATATTTAACATTTTTATTATTTTGAGTTAAATAATGGTAGTGTTTACCTAAAGATATGTAATATTGGGATCCTTTGAAAATTAAAATAAATAGACGATGATCAATCTAAGTGGGAATAAGGCTGAAAGATATTTTTGGTATTTTTTTTAAATGAATCCTTGCTTTGAGAATGTATCATGTTTTTTTCCCATGATTGCCTTTTTATCCGTTTGTATTGTTTGTGCTCGTAATAAAGATGCATTACAAAATATAATTATGTTGGAAAAAGATAAATTCTCCCCAAACATTTTAATGTTTTTTCTAAATCTGATATTTTCCCACTCTATTTTAACCTACTTTCAAACCTATGTCGTCATTTTTGAAAAAGTATCTTTAAAGAATTACTTCCTTTTTTGTTTTGAAAGTCAAAGTAGGGATACAGACAAGACATGTGAGGGGAGTGAGGGATTCGGCCATAGACTGATAAAGATAAAATATATATAGTTTAATATTATTATGATTTGTATACAGTCTATATGTGTGACATGCAATGAATATCTGCACAGAATCAACCTGTTGTGTTGTGTGTGTCATAACCACTAGCTTACCTGACAGCTCCTAACTCCTTTACCTAATTTCATTTTAAAGTTTATTGTTTCAATGTTTCAATTCCCAATACTGTCTGATATTATTATCCCTGCTTAGGTTTTGTTTGGTTACACTTGATTTATTTAATTGTTCCTAAATAATGATTAAATCGTGTGCCTCCCCTGCTCACCTGTCACAGCAGCAGAAGAAAGAGCACGGCGAGGTCTCCAGTCCTCTGAACTTCCCTGAGTTTGGTGCGTCCGTGCACTCTGCTATGAAGGCATGCAGGTCTGTGATGTGGATGGGTCCTTGGGTTTGGTGCTGTGGAAACCAACGAGAATACATTTCTGTTATTTTCTAATATATTGTTGCAATGTGTCCTCTCCATTCTGGTAGTTAGGAAAACAGAAATGATGACCTGGTTTGAAGTTACTTCCTACCTTGATGGTCTCGTAGGCTCCTGTGATGAGAGCGATAAACAGCGACAGCACCATGTAGATGAAGAGGGAGATGAAGGTGTACAGGTACACTTGGCTGAACAGCCACACCAGAGTGCTGCTCTCCTGCATCTCCGAGAAGGTCACGAACATGTCGTCCCCGTTAATCAGGGAGAAGAGGCACTCTGACACCATGGATAGAGAGCGGAACTAAGGGACAGGAAGCAGAAGAGCTCAATTAAACATCTAACAAATGATTTATTGGTTAGCAAAGCCTTCAGTAACAGTTGTTAAAGCTCCACAAGTGACAACTTTCTGGATGCTGTGTGATCTGATGAATCTGACTTCAACAATAATGTGAAAAATTAACTCAGGACGTATATACTGGTGGGAGAGAGTGCCAACAGCTACGAGTTTTAACCCGTACGTGCAGAAGTAATGGACAGCGGGATATAACTCAGTTATTCAGAATGAGGAAGCTTTTATCCACTGTAATCAATTTGTTGGTGAAATGGATCGGTATATTTCGTTACATTTAAATGTATAAAGTAAAAACAGGTTGTTGTTCATAAAATGTATTGTGCTTGTTAAAAAGGTAAGGACTGATAAAAAACAACACATTTGTATTTCAGATATAAGGAGACGTTGAAGCAATGAAAATGATGCTCACTTTGTACGTTTACAATTTTTTGTCATTAAAGGTGGGGTAGGTAATTTTGGAGAAACCAGCTCGAGTGCGCTAGAATTTGAAAATACACAGCCGGAAAAAATCGGCCACTTCCTTGCAGAGCCCCTCCTCCAACACACACGAACGTGCACATGACCAATGAGGGGATGAGATAAGTTTATGCACAGATGGAAGGCTGACAGGCAGGTAGGACATCTAGTTATTTTAGCCGGGCCGGCTAAAATGATTGGTCGTGCTTTTTACAGTACGGCTTCCACAGATGACATTTTTTAATGGATTTTTTGTCAAAGCACTTAAGATATTCATTGCTATCGGGATGTTAAGAGCATTCCATGGAATATAACAAAAAGTGTATCTCGAGCCGGTTTCTCAAACACACCTACCCCACCTTTAATAAATATATATTCTTTTAATTTATGACAGAAATTACATGCTATGGTAGGAACAGAATACAAATATTGTCTATATTGTATTGTAAAAAGGGTTAGCTATAAGCTGTAACCTCAGCCTGAGCTTTGCTGTATTATTTTTTACTGTGTTTGTTTTTAAGGATTTGTAGCATATCTTTGCTGTTTGTTTTTTCAATGAAGTTCCAATTTCTTTGCATCATTTATTACGGAGACAACATTATATAAATGGCACTACAAACAAGTGTATAAGAGTTTCACTGATGTTCACCTTGACGTGGTACGGTCCCAGGACGATCCAGCCACAGAAGCAGTATCCCAGATAGATGACGGCCACGCAGCAGCAGAACCGGATCACATTGGGGAACGCTGCTCTAAGTGTCACGATCAGGATCTAAGGGAGGCACCGAGACATGAGACATATGAGAGGAAAACATTAGAGAAAAAAAAGGGAGAGGAAGCGGAGACTTTATTAACAAGATACACTAAATTAAATCAACTTATCAAAAGGAGCATTTTCTCAGATTTGTACAAATAACATAATTTGTCTTGTTGTGTCTGTGACTTACATTGTACTTCTGGAAGAATGTGAGGTAGCGAATGACTCCGACCCACACCATGAGTGTGGAGATTCCCAACAGGATGCCACACAAGTCGTATGAGGACATAGTCTGTCAGGAGATAAGAAAATATACTTTAAAGATGGCTCACCGCACCTTTTTGAACTATGTGCCACTAACATAAAATAAATAAATAGTGGTCACCTAAAGGAATAGCAAATACATAAAAAAGTATATCTCCTGGAATAACTCGATAGCTACTGATCAACTTCTGCATGGATGGGTTAGTTTGTTAACGTTGTTGTGTGATTTGGTGTAAGAACATAATACAACCCAACATAAAAAATCAGAAAAGGCATACTGGTAAGTAGGACACACCTTAGACTCAATGCCGATTTTGACGATGCTGCCAGTGATGGTGAGGATGTCGCTGATGATAAGGAGGATATACCATCCGTTAATGAACTCCAGCCGATCTGCACAGCACACTTTACGATCCAGAGTCTCCCTGAAGAAATTCACATACTCCTGTAAACACACAAAGATGGTAAGAGAGGAATCAACATGAAGCATTAGATGGATGTAAGGAAACGTTTATTAACTGGGCCTTCGTAAATAAATTGGATAACTAAAAATGGCAAAAATACAAAGTTGTTATATCCTCAGTCTGCTGACTCATGTTTTCCCTTCTTGCACCATGCATGCGCTGGTGACTGTAAAGCTGTAATTCAAAGCTAAATCTGTTTTATTTTGGGTGCAACAGACTTTACGTACCTGCTGCAGTATGATGCCTCGCAGTATGGAGCGTCCACACAGCATCAGGGACAGCGTACACACCAGAGCCACAGCGACATCAAACGCTACACGTGTGTAGTTCTCAGCTGGAGGATCATAGGGAGCAGGCAGAGCCGTTAGCTGGGTTTCAGTCAGATGAAGTAACCTTAACTCTAACTTCACGCATGACATTTCCTGCCGTTTGACTGATAGTAACTCAAACATACATTTCCTTAAGCGTGCTAATGGTTCATGATCATCTCCAACCTGCTTACAACTGCTGCAGCATTTCAATATGAGTCATATGTCATACTTTCTGAGTGTTATCCATGCTCTCCCTCATCTCACCGTGTCCAGAGACGCTCGGGTCTTTACACTCCTTTATAGAAGCCTGGTTTTCTAACCGGATCTTCACCTTGCCGCTGTGTGCCTTGTTGTCCAGGAGTATCTGAAGAAGAAAAAGGGAGCAGCAGAAAATTCATATCAGACAATAAAGTTTGCATTTCTCTCTAACAGGTCCGCAACTACCATTGAGAATTCAGAGAAAGCTTTATTTTGCACTAACGTCATTATTTTATATGATAAACCTAATGTGTAGAGTTAGCTAATCCTTGCATTTGTACTACTGTTGTAATACTGTGCTACTTACATGCCTCAACCAATTTCATATTTGGACATTGTTTTCCATATATGTGTTTAAAAAAAGACAAGTAGTCTGTGTTTTACCAAGAATGGCTTTGTTAATAAAAAAAAAGTGTACACATAAAGGAGACAGATTCACGTAGAATATATAACTCTCAGTTTAAGAAGTCTCACTAGAACTGGAAACGGAACCATCATCTTTACTTACTTTTATGTAAAAAGTGTAGCAGTCTGGGATCTCGTTGTATATAATGGTCTGTAAATTGATGGCCTTCAACTGGAACTCTATAGTGACGTTAATGAGCCTTGAAAAATAAAACACAAATCAGACTGGAAACAGACATTTCATGATGACAACAATCGACCGGGAACAAACCAGAAGCAGGACGAGAAAATGTTGCATTTATCTGTGCGTGTTATTGTACCAAAACATGTGTGTGTCCTGTGTACATGCTTGCGTGTGTGCGTGCAGCAGAGTTGGCGTGTTGTCTGTCATCATCAGATATTCAAGAGATAAATATAATCAACGGAGGCCAAACAAGGAGAAAGTTGAAGCCATGTGAAAAATGAAGCCTTACTTGTGGAACTTGAGTGTAAAGTTCCTGTAGCTGGTGGAGAGCAGACCTGTGGGTGTGGCCAGCGGGTCTACACCTACACAATCTGAAATGAGTGGAGAACAGAGGAAGGTCATGTTGAGGGAAAACTGGCGTGTCCCGAAGAGAGAGAAACACTGAATCTCTCAGAATTGTGAAAAGGGGCAGATCAAAAGCAATCATTGAAATACATGTGATCAGGTGAAGAAAGACTTTAACTTGGCGTTTTTTTCCACAGTTTTTACTTCCTCTAAATCTGGTCACGTTGTACTAAAAACACAATGATATGAGGAAGTAAGAAACTGAGTGTGTGCAACATATGTTAATACAGTAAACGGGATTACGAAGTACAGCCATTTGGCAAATTACAGTAAAAAATGTCCTGAATCTGAATATTTATTTTCCTTGTCTTTGACAGTAAACTGAAAATGTTTGGTTTGACGAAAAACAAGAAATTGAAAGGCATCATCTTGGGCTTTGAGAGATTATGGACAATGATAATATCTGTACGTGGGAGCCCTTCAATCTGCAAGGGGCAATCAATTAAAGCATATTAAACTCACCAAAGAATGAAAAAAGTTGTCTTTATCCCATAACTCAGATCAACCAGAATGATGAGATAAGGTGTTCCACCACAGATCAGATTCTGTGATCGGTTTAAATGCAGTGGCAAGCTGCTTTACTGCTGCTACAAACATTTCTAAGCACGCTGCATTGCATGCTTTATCACCACTATGCTCAGAGATACATTTCTGGTGCACGAGGCTGTACCCATTAAGCATCCCATACGGTTTATATTGCTCCAGAAGGAACACACAGGACCTTCAGGCAGGTCAGAGTGCTTTCCACCCAACGGACGCATTAACGCTAATAATACTTGTATGATATTGATCATAAGATATGGCCGATGATTTGTATTTTTCCTTTTATTATCTATAAGATGAAGAAGTTGTGTTTTGCAGACAATTGGTTTGGTTAACATGTACTAAAAAGACCAGGAATAGACTAGTGTTGCACTGTAACAACCTAAAATGGACCTGGCTGTTTATTTTCACCTCATAACATTATTACGCAATATTTATTTTTGATCTATGAAGACTTTGTAGCTTTTAGTTTGAGTCTATAAACTCTTGTAGCTACTTGTGTAAGTGATAGAGAGCATGCTCACACATTCATCCTCACTTTTCTTGGGAGTGAGGTTGAGGTTGCCCGTGTTTGACCCTCAGGCAAAAACTGTTCCCTGGATCTAATACTCTGCTTGATTTTTGACTATTTACAACCAATATATATATATATACATACATATATATTCATTATGCATGAAGTACCCCTTTTTAGGAAAAAACACTGCTTCTACAGCACTTTCTCCACACTCTCATAATGTTTGTTGACAAGAGGGAAGCGTTCACTTGTGTTTTTCAGAGACCGAGTTATCAGCTGATCTGTTAAAGCACTGGCACAAATGCACGTCATGTGATGTGACGATTAAACTCCATTAAACCCAATTAAAATGGTGTAACTAAACTACCATGGTACATATCTCTTTGGATGTGCTGTTCATACTTATTACAGCCCCCACCCTCTGTTTGCAAAGAGGCAACAATGTAAAAGTCACGCAGAGAGTTGATCACAGCCTCCAGACACTGTTAGCACTGTTAAACTAACTAAGATATTCAGTGAAGTTGATGTACCTGTTTTGATGTGAGGGTCTATAACGAACGTGTCATTGGCTGGGTCGATGCTTCCCTTCTTGTAGTACTGCTGGCAGAGGGAGAGCGCACTGCCGTTGAAACCAACATTGTACACGTATGCATAGCGTCCCACTGTGGTCTCTGGTAAGGCCAGGTACTGTGGAGAGGATGAGAGGCGGAGCTTTAACTGAGCAGGCAGCCACGTACTGAAGATGGACCTTTATTAATCCCTGTGGGGAAATTTAGTAGTTTAAAAAGCAACGGGGTAAGGATGAAAAATAGGACAGCACAGATTCACACAGATTAATAAAATCAAAGATAAAATCAAAGATAAAATCAAAGATAAAATCAAAGATAAAAATGATGAAAAACTATGAAATAAGAAATGAATAAAAAATAAAAATGAGCATATATACATATTGGGTCACATAAACTATGAACTAAGAAATTAATGAAAATGAAAATATTGAGTCATATATACATATTACATCTTAGATATATTTACATGAATGTGTGCAAACAGTGTGTATTTATGTCCAGTAATTGTGTCACATTGTTGACCCCTGGTTGTGCTCTCTAACACCAGCATCCATCCAAATCATATTTTGGACGTTTTTTTCCCCTTCATTTTGAATCTATATTTTAGCGTCTAGAATCTCAACAAGTGATGAAAACATTTGGTCGGACCAGAAGCTTACTCTAGTCTGAAATATCTTTAAAATGTTGCACAAACATTCATTGTCCCTAGAGACGATGTATACCAAAGTATCTTTGAAAAACCTTGACTCTCGCACTGGCACCACCCCCACTGTAACCCTTTGGTTCAATAGCAAACTGTGATTGAAAAAGATTCAGAGCAAGTTACATTATTGCATCGATGTAAAGGACTAAACAATGACCTGATCCACAGTGTAGAAGATCTGGTCGTAGACGTCGCTCTGCTTGTAAACAGCGTAGGAATTGTCTGATGACTCGTCATAGTCTTTGAGAAAGAGGTGCTTGAAGGTCATAGTGTTCTCCTCCTTAAAGGTCACCACCACCTGGTTACTGAGGCCAAACAGCACCAACTGCAGCAAAGACAGGGAAGAGAAAACATGTCAGGGAGAGGAGAAGTGAGGAGACTATAAACCCTGAAGCTGTGCTTGAATAATGCGAAACTTGAGTTGGGATTAAATCACTTTTCATGAAAATAGCCAGTTTTATTCTATTCTTTCTTACACATAAGTAGTAAAACTATAATATGATAATATATGGAGAACTTCTGGCGTACCTGCGCTGTGACAATAATGATCTTTAGCAGCTGCAGGATCAGCTTGTAAGGCTTGCGGCCCTTGGCGTGGTATTTGTCACAAGGGCTCATGAAGAAGTATTTTAACTTCCTGCGAATGGCCTCCTCTTCCTGATCATCCCCGACCCAATGACCCGCCTCGGCCGTGGGAAACAGATGGTTGCTTTGGTTGTTGCCATGACTGTGACTCTGATGGTCCTGCTCTCCGCTGCCGTCTGTGGAGCCGTAGGGAGACATGGAGCCCGATAGGCCTTCTTGCTCTGAAACAAAAACAAAAACAATGTTTATTTTCTCATGCAGAATGTGATCCGATAACATGATAAAAAAAACAGTTCATAATCTTTGATGGGGGCATCTTCTCAAAGATAACCGAAGCACAAGCTGAACGGACCGGGGAACTCAAATTAATGCCTCATGATATAATTGAGCTGTATAAATAATATAATAAACACTTTGGACCATAAGGCATTTCTTATACCATAATATATTTGGGTATTTTCTTTAGAAATGCATTGTCCACACAAGCTGCATCTCCCAATCGTTAGTTTCTTTATTCACAAAAAATATTGTGCAGTATTTCAAACACTATCCACAGAAAGATTTCTAAATCAGCATTACTGTCTTCCCTGACATTTAACTGTTTTACTGATGTTTAATAATATTGGAGGACTCGTGTCTCAAATGCTTTCAGTGATTTTCCTAAGACCTTTTAAGCCAAGGTAGTTAGCTACCTTCAGTTTGTGGATGTTAAAGTGGACCTATCATGCTATATTTGAATAATATAGTGTAGGACCATAGCTATATAAGGCATATTTATACTTTTTATTTTTCAAAATACCAAACAGGTCATGCATTTTAGCCATTCCTCATTTCATTCAATTTAACAGTCTTTTCATGGGCTGATTCTGTGAGAACAGCACCATCTACAGGCCTGGCATATGTACTACAACGTCTCCAGCGCTTTCGAACGGCAATGTCCGTGGCTGTCTCCTCCTGATTGGTGGAGTTGGCCCAATAGCCGTAGCGCCACTTCTGTGACGTCACAGAAGTGTTCAAATCTGGATCAGTCTGTATCAGATCCGTTGCAGCCCCTTTTTTAGAGATTTGGGTATGGAGGAAAATAGAGAGGGTTGTGTTTTCTGACACTTGGTGAGTTCCCTGGAACACCGGGGACACATATTCATGTATAAAAGACGTACAAAAGTGCATTTTGCATGATAGGTCACCTTTAACCTAAACTTGGAAAATCTGTACAAATGCTGGGTTTGTGAAATAGCTCGTCTGCAAATTGTGTTTGCTTATTCGCACATTTTAGCATGCTAACACGCTTAACTTTGACCTACAATAACCACAGAAATGACTTACGGCAAACTAAGAGACAAACACCAGAAATGCACTATTGTGCAGTACAACAGTTGTGACTATAACTGGCTGAGAGGGAAATCACATAAATTTAGTGAGTAAGCCGGAGTCTTGCCATTTCATGCAAAACGTGACTCCAAGTTCTTCTCGGTGTGCCGGAACAGTCTGTCTTCAGCTTTCACCTCAGTCTGACACGTTCTCTTTTGTCTCTGAATCTGTGTGGATGTATTCCTCTCTGTGCCCTCTGGCGCTTTGAGACATGTGCTCAGTGCGGCTGCACATGTGATTTAACCATTTTTTTTACTCCAAGCCACAAGGACTAATTGTCCTCCTTAGTAAAGGGTACAAAAATAGCCAAAAGAGGAATTTAACAATTGAACTTTGGGATTTGTATCACTTTTGAAAACAATGCTACACCTCTTAAATTCAGAGTCTCTGTTTCTGTGGTGTTAGAATAATCAAGAAAATGTGTCTCCGACCGAGAGGCTGCAACAACCAAAAGAGAAGAACAACTCCTCAGACAACTACATTATTAAGCAATGAAAATGTTATGATAAACTTACCTCTACATTTCTTAATATCCTTTAAAGCTAAGGTAGGAGACACAGGGCAAACACTCTACAATGACATCTTAGCATTATTGCCCAATAATTCCAAAATTAAACGTTCTCCTCTCGCTATAAAAGCTATCTTTTATTTGTATTTGTTTTAAAGCTTATGAATGTAACTCATAATTATTCGTCAATTATTGTCGCCTTGCCTTGTTGTCTGTGTTGTTTTTGTATGACATTCGTGCGGTTGTCTGACTGTGATTGCTTCTTATTCTTATGTCTTTCTTGAATAAGAAATCTCAATACCAAGAAATTACCAAAATGATTGAAGTTCAAATTCATTTAAAAACATCGGACACGGCTACACAGAGCAGTCAATTTGTGGTCGGAGAGAAAGCTGGTCGATGTGTCACGTATTAGCAGAAACTGACCTCATGTTAGGAAAGTAGGTTAATCGTGCTTAATATATGTCACGTGCTTTGAGCTTGCTGGAGACTGCAAGAAAAGAACATGAAGAATGGGGTAACTCAGTTTTTTCCCTCAGGAAATGACTTGTTGGGCAGTCAACGTCAGCATGGGCATGATCAGATGAACTGCAGAGTCAGGATGAATGCAGGTTCAACAGACAAAGTATGTCAGCAGAGCAAAGCCTTAGCTTAGAAGAGTTGTCTAATGGGAAAGTGAAGTGAAACAGAAGAAATACATTCCTGGTGTTCAATATTAGTCAGCACTAACTGTAAACTAGATGAAAGTTCAACAACACTAAACAAAAACGTTACAGACTGGTATAACTCTTGTCCCGTGATATTCTGTGGAACCGCCATCTAATAATTCAAAGTAAAGACTTAACATTTAGTTTAAGACTTGAGTATTTTCTTAGGTCTACTCATATTATGTTTTCTGCCTAAAGTTAGTAAGCTAGACAGAAATGTTTACTGTGATTGAAATAAAATGTAACCATAACCACATGTGGTTTCCTGCATGGTTTCCTACGTTCATAGGGATCATTTCCTACATCATACGACACCTGTTGCTAACCTGTGAGAACTTTAAGTCATTAAATTGAGATGAACAACATCCAGCTGAACACCGTGAGAGACATTTTAATAAACTAAAAACACCCTGGCTTCGACAATGGTTGCATGTCTCCGTAAAATAATCCAAACACCTCATATTTCGTGCGGACAACAGGCGTGAGTGCGCACATATCTTTGATCAGAGGAGTGTGTTGATCGTCACGGTGGATAGCATTAGGATAAACAAAAGTGGGCCATTGACCCTGCCACCAAATATGACACATGCTGAATAAAGCTGTGGAAATATCTGGCTCTCCCGGTTCACAGTTATCTTTGGAGTACTAGCCAAAACACTAAAGTAAATACAAGTTTGTCAGACTAAGTCCTCACCGTCACTGAGAATATGTCAACACACTTGTATCTACTGTAGGCTGGCAGGCTGCAGCAAGAGGCCACCCACAGGTGCAGAGTCCAAAACTTCCTCTTATGCTTCAGTTAAAAGGAAACACCTTGAACCAAAAAAGATGATGCATTGATATTCTTGGTATCTGCAGGTTGGAGGTTATTCTTTGTATCAACTGAAATGCTATTCATTTTGCAGCAAACTGTGAGATGTATTATCAGGGGGAAAATACCTGATAATCTGGCTGTAAAAGGCCAGTCTACCTTGATTACAAATGGTGGTTTAGTGGACATAGATTTGGCTTTATGTGCTAACGTTTTAAGACATGCATCTCTGTAAAATCTGCTGCCACCACAACACCATGGGGGTGAGCAAGGCAGTAAATCAATAAAAAATGTAAAAACTCAACATTGAATTTTATTTCCAGATACAATATTACTTAGAAAGATTACCACACAACCAATATTTTTAGTAGCGATGTTTATTATTGTTCAATAATAGTTCCAGTGTTGCGGTTAACTTTGTGGTTTATCCTGAAGTGGTGGGTGGAAAAATGATTTTGGCAATTTCGGGGGCACTGATGTAAAACCATCACAGACACATAAACCCTTACTGAACACATACTGTGCGAGATGCTACATGAAGCAGGCCTTAATCTTTCTGTGTGTCTACATGAACTAAGACCTGTCTTGGCCCTAAAAACAACAGTTTTAAGGTCACAAACAAACTTCCACAATCAATTCAAAAATCCTTCACAGTACAGAGGAACTCCATAATCTGTGAAGCCATACTTCGCCCAACCCAGAACAACAAGACTGCAGACTTAACCATGCGTGAGTTAAGATTATTAAAATGGTGTCGAAACTGTTATTATGCATGAAGGAGCTGGGCCGTTTAGAGTTGCTGAAAGGGGGGGCTAATGGTGATGTAGCATCTGGGTCTTAATAGACGGGAGACCAAGAACAAACCCACCATCAACATCTGAAACTGGGGCAAGTTTTTAACACCATTTGTCTCATTTTACATCAGTAATGTTAAATTAGCTCACTCAAATGAAAGGTGCATGCTATAACTTGTGGTCTATAATGCATGTAGTTGAAGCTTGAAACTCAAACACTAACAAACTAGTCATTTATTACATGGAGCTGCTGTGATGCAAGTCAAATTTCAGACCTGATCTGACCATTAAAGTATTATCGTATTAATCAAAAAGGATCAGAACATTGGTATTAATGACAATCACATGTTCAAAGAACACAATGTCCCGTGGTTGAATATCTTATTTAGTTTAACCCCAAAGTAGAATAAATACCTGTATTTGAGTTGATCTTGTAAAATGACTAACTCTTTACATTACAAGGACTTTTTTTGAGAGAAAAATAGTTGAATACCTTTCTCTGACTGTTATTTAAACAGTTGATGACAGTTACTGCTATATAATTATCAAAATGAGGTTATGTCTAACAACCTTTTCTTGTATTGTTGTCTAGTTACATCTCTCACTAAATGATGCTTTCCTTATTTAGACACAACCTGTGGAGGGAAAATCCCACGTTGTCAACAAGGATTACAGTAAGGAGTCATCGTAGCAAAAACCTGAGCTGTTTTGGGAAAGCACACTTGATATATAAAAGGAGTACTGTAGAAGAAGATGACAGAGCAGATTTACCGTCTGAGGTGGGAGAAGTACTCAGATCTTGAACTTAAGTTAACTTTGATGCATTGTGTTGATTAAAGCTGGTAAAGGGGAAGCTACTTTTAATGACTTTGTATACTAGTGGAGTATAAATTAGTATACAATAAAAATATTCAAGTAAAGAACAAGTATCCCAAAATCGTTCTTAATTACAATACTTGAGTAAATGTACTTCACGACATTACACCACTGTTTACAGTAACCTACATGTTGTGTTGTTGCAGCTCTGACACTAGCAGGTGACCAGCAGGAAAACAACACCATTTAACACAGTTTAATAGTAGACAGAACCATGTCTACTTGTAGAAAGACAAATGAGTCGTGTCTAACTGTGGAGTAAAGGAGAGTTACATTACCTAATGAGTCCCGGTGAACTGCGTCAGCCATGTAGTTATCCGTTTAAGAAAACAATAAATAGGTGAATCATATGGCTAACACTGCGAGTAGGGTGTATTTCCTTGAAAAATAACTGTTTACAGGTCTCAGAAATCACACAGCTGTCTGAAAGCAGTAGCCGGGCCGAGCTGCTGTTGTTTCCAACTCTCTTCCTCTCGTGTGTCATGTGACCCACACCACGTGACCACATTACTCACAGATCATTGCTGCTCAAGAGCAGCCTGGAGGCAAGGCACATTTTTGGTTAGATATTTTTTAATTTTATGATTTTTATTAAATGTATGATGATTTTTAGATTTGTTTACTTAGACAGTTAAGTAAATACAATGTACAGTATTTAATTGTATATACAGTTTTTAGCTCATCTCATTCTATTTGCACTAAAATCTCATTGTATATTCTTTGTATAATGACAATAAAGGCTTTCTTTTTTTATCAATATTTTTATTTTTATTTTCAGGTGAGACAATACCAAAAACATTAAGGACAACACAACAATGCATAATAAAACCAACAAAACAATAACAACAAACAACGACTAAAACAAACAAACAGCAACAATAAATAGCAAGCTATACTCATGTGTGAGTATTTATCATGTTATATTTAAGCCCATAGACTATAGTTATAACACTTGACCTTTCTTCCTTCATGCACGTTGCAATTGGGGACCAGACCATAACAATACTATATAAAATAAAAGCTTTCTATTACTTGCACATTAGTCACAATCTCCTGGACTGTTTTATTTCTATTTTGTTACTTCTTGCACTATTTTCATTGTTTTTTTATTTATTGTATTGTTTATGTCTTATATACAGTAGGCTACACAGTATATGTATGTTGCATTGTTCGAGGAGCCTGGGACAAGACAAGATTTACATTGCCATAATTATACTGTAGCTGCTGTGCAGAGGACAATAAAACCTTTGAATTTAGAATCTTAAAAAACAAGACATTAAATATTCACAATATCCCCTCTGTATGGAATAAAACATTCTGAAGTGTTTTGAATCCAAATGCAAAAATAGGCCATCCCTTGCAAATAACTTCAACACTTTACCATAAATGTACAACACCTTACCATCACACAGTTGTGGTTCTCAGAAAGAGCATCAGAGTGCGATGGTGACTTATTTTCCTCTCTTGGAAAAATGACTCACCTCCCTTCCCTTTCTTTCCTAACATTTCCAGTTGCTGCGTCCAGTAGCTGATGTAAAACACCTGATTTCAATGTAAATAGCATACTGTTATTCCCATAGTACAAAACATATATATCAAAAAGCTTTTTTCATTTAAATGTAATCAGAGCAAAACACATGTATTAACATTATTATAATAAATACATAATGCTTTGATTGCAAGCTTGACATTTGACACAAGTACAGCTGCGTCACCTCTGTGGGAAATCGCTTTGGTGTGGTGATTCCACATGTGGTGATGAGGGTGCGCAAATATGATCATATCACCCCCATCCTGAAATCACTGCTCCCCGTGGAACTGAGGATCGAATACAAGGTCTCCCTCCTCACCCACCAGTGTATCCATGGAACTGCCCCTCCCTACCTCAAGGAACTCCTCACCCCTCATACTTCCTTGAACTCAAATGTGAAGTGCGTTATAAATGAAACCCATTATTATTATTATAGAAACAAATATGCACTGTTTGCTACAGCTATTGTCCCATCAGGCCTGCCAAAGACAGCAACGTGAGGAAATTGTAGATTTTCCATCTGCCTATTGGCTTGGAAATTGTGGGTGTCAGCTAATACACTGCAAAAAAACAAGGACCGCATCACCCCTTCTGACCCAGAAAGCGACGCAACTTCTGGTCCAGGCTCTCGTCATCTCACGCCTAGACTACTGCAACTCCCTCCTGGCTGGTCTACCTGCATGTGCCATCCGACCTCTGCAGCTCATCCAGAATGCAGCGGCTCGTCTGGTCTTCAACCTTCCTAAATTCTTCCACACCACACCGCTCCTCCGCTCCCTTCACTGGCTTCCGGTAACTGCTAGAATCCACTTCAAGACACTGGTACTTGCGTACCATGCTGCGAATGGATCTGGCCCTTCCTACATCCAGGACATGGTTAAACCGTACACCCCAGCACGTGCACTCCGCTCTGCATCAGCCAAACAGCTCGCTGCACCCGCACTGCGAGGGGGACCCAAGTTCCCATCAGCAAAAACACGTGGGTTTGCTATCCTGGCTCCAAAATGGTGGAATGAGCTCCCCATTGAAATCAGGACAGCAGATAGCTTACACATCTTCCGACGCAAACTGAAAACTCATCTCTTTAGACTCCACTTCGAGCGATAAAATTACTAACAAAGCACTTATATACTAATAAAGGGCTGGCTTTTTAAATGCCAGTTGAGTAGCACTTGAAATGTTTGGCTCTATGAAACCTGATGTACTTATATGATTCTGTTTTCTTAAAGGTTGTATCTTCCTGGTCGAATGCACTTATTGTAAGTCGCTTTGGATAAAAGCGTCAGCTAAATGCAATGTAATGTAATGTAATGTAATGTTTAGTATATGTCCATGTTCCAGAACAAAATGACTCAGGGTGCCTCTGAGATTACAGGGGGCGCAGCAGTAGTAGGTTTGCATGAGCAATGGTGGCCGGCAACAGCAATGAAAAATAGCATTGATGGTCCCCAATGAACAGATTATGGCATTTGTTATGTTTTGAAACTAAGCAAGTGAGAACATTTCAAGTGAGTTAAAAGTGCAATCCTGAAATATTTCATATAGTCCAAAGTGGACTATGGCAAAGAAAAGCAAAAAAGCTTTCAAAACTGTACTGATAAAAAAAATGAGAACATATGTGACCCGCTCTATCGAAATCAGTCGGAAGTCGCAACGGCTCATTTAAAAATAAACGTGGATTTGCGTAAAAAACTATTTTTTCGGGGTTCGTGTAGTTTTTTACGCAAATCCACGTTTATTTTTAAATGAGCCGTTGCGACTTCCGACTGATTTCGATAGAGCGGGTCACATATGNGTGGTCAGTTCATGGACAAATGTGAGGTTTCTTCAAAAACCCAACAAAAAATAATATGTTAAACCTTTAGACTGGTATGCAGATGTTTTTGTATATTGTAGTGTTTCTTTTATGTTTTTTGGACATGTTTACCTAACTTCTTCAGTTCATATAATACTTTTATTCTATTTTATTAAATGTTTTGAACATTTTTACTTAACTTCCTATGTTTCAATATTTATTTAATTTTTGTGGAACATTTGTGCTGAATGTCCTATGCATGCTTATGCAATATTTGTATTTAATTTCTGTTGTTTATTCCCACCATCTCCCGGAGTTATGGTCTTAATCTCATGAAGTATATTATGAGTTATTTGAAATAGAGATAACTTTAAATAAAAAATGACTGAGCATAGCCAAAGACAAACCATGTTACCCTTGGGTGTTTAACCCCGGCCCCCCGCTCTTAGAACCAAAGCTTGAGAGACAGCAAGCGCATTTCGTGGCATCGGCGGGCAGTGGCAAGTACTTCCGGCATCTGCCACAGAGGCCGCTACTCCGTGGTATCTGTGGCAAGTATATGCCACAGATNAAAGGACTGGCTTATCTAAAGCCAGTTGAGTAGCACTTGAAATGTTTTAGCTCTATGAAACCTGATACTTATATGATTCTGTTTTCTTCAAGTTTGTATCTTCTTGGTCGAATGCACTTATTGTAAGTCACTTTGGATAAAAGCGTCAGCTAAATGCAATGTCATGTAATGTAACAAGATTAACACACTGCTTCTTAAAATAGACAAGTGTATGTAATGTTAATCTACATTTGCCATTGCAAAGGAGTACAATCAATGATCAATAAGTCTGAACAGATTCTTTCAATACTGTACACAGTATGTTCGTCTTTAGAGCAGAAAATATTAGGACGTTCATTGATAAGATGAGTAGGCCTAATGAAGTCAAGGACCACAATTCAAATCACCATTCCTGAAGCTCAAAGTTTACAATTATTTTCAGATGAAAGTAGCATACAGCACTTTCAATCCTTATATTTACTTAGTGGCAGAAAAAGGCTTGCATACATTTGTGTTGGGCACCGTATTAAAATGTTTTACTTGGTTTATTGTTGTGGGTTTATATTAAACAAAAAATCACATTTAACGTTTTATTTCAATTGTGAAATGACTTTACATTTTTAAATGTAACAATCTTAATTTGACCATAACCGACAAACTACATGAAGGCAGTCTTATATTGTTGTTTCCATAATTTCCCTGCATTCAAAGATCATGTGACCAGATAGGATCTCCTGTGACTCAAATGTTCCCAACACTGATGAGTACACAGGGAGATGGTAAACATTAACCATTCATCTGCTTTTTTCTACTTCAGTTTGTTGATTGAGTTACATAATGTATACAAAGGAAGCTGAACAAGGGTGCATGGCACATAGGGAAAGAGTGGCACAACACAATATCATTTTTAAAATAACTTTTTTGTAAACTGTGTGATACAATTCACTGCAGGGCCAATACTTTGTTTTGCTCATGACTTAGCTAACTGTAGGCTAAATCAATATTTGGAAGCATCAGTGTACAAAGTGTACTCTTCAACACTGCCGTCCTGCACATACGAAAATACTCTCAGAAGTTTTGAGGAACAAAACAGTTTAGGTCTTCAACCTGTTCATTAAACTTGCAGAAAGCCTACTTCTATTTAATTTCTGTAACAGAACATTGCAGGCAAGCAGGTGATACAACATGACTTTATTTGGGCTGTCGTTTTTTGTTCTGGCTTTATCCTTCTTTACTGTCTATAGCGGGCCTACAGGTAAGTTCAGTTATTCAAAATATGTCTTAAAATAATGGAAAACTGTTTCTTTTCATGTTGTGGTTCAGCTTCATTAGTGTTTCTGAAATCTGTATTTTTATTTTGAGAATGTACAAGTTTTACTATTGCTTAGCCATTTTCATTTTGAGAAAATATGTTTCTGAAAAAGAAAATCGAAAAAGGAAAGAGAAAGTATCAAAGACTGAATATACTTTCAGTACAACAACACCGGTTTAGGGATTGTGTGAACATTATTGGGAGGAATGGGGTTTGTTGTTCAGACTGACTGACTTTCCTCTAAAGAAAAACAACCAGGTTACTTTAGTTTTTGTGTTTCAATAAACAACGTTAGCCACATGTTCACAAATGTGACATCAAGTTAATACGCTCAAAACATAACTGATGATGGGGTTTAGTTTTATGGGAACATTATTTTTGAAATGTGAGGGTGAGATCAAAGGAGGTATCCTGACATTGTGATTGAAGAACTAAGTCCACTGAATTCTAATTAATAATATTAAGTTTAAATAAAAAAAATATTAGGTTCATATTGATATCATTGCTTTCAACAATTATGTGTAATCTGTTGACATAATACATGTATTTAAAGTAAAAATGTCCCTTCTTTCCCGTGTAGGCCAGGCTGTAAAACACTGATAATATATTTACTGTTTGCTTTCTCTCAATCAATTTTGGTTTCTTTTGACCATGAACACTCCCATCATAACAATAACCACTTATGTAATATTTTCCACATGATAATGGTTATTTTAAGTCATAATCTTTCCCTAAAGCCGACTAAGTTGGTTTTGTGTCCAATTCTGACCAGCTTGGATACACAGCTTGGATTGTGTAAAAAGTCTCCAGTTATTTGTATTGCGCAATGTTTCGATCTCACAAAGGTCAACTTTAGGCTTTGTCTAGATGGAAACGCAGCTAAATGTAAATGGTTTTTTTATACAGTTTACAGAGCTTTTGTTCAGATTTTTGCCTGAGATGATACTTTGATGTATTGTATCATCCAAGAATGTGAGGAAGGTGTGTACCCTTTTTGATGCATTCTCTCTTTTAGTTATTCATCGTGAAACAAATTGAACCAATGTAATTCTGTTTTATGTTGATATATTGCTCAAAGGTAGAGAATAAACAATACACACCGACTATTTCCACTGCACCTAGCTGTGATCTGAATAAGACCTTCAGCAAATGGCCAATGGACTTCATTTATATAGTGCTCTACAGAAACCACTCAAAGAGCTTTACAATACAAGCAAGCGTTCACCTAGCATTCATACACTAGTGGCGGAGGTTACTTCATACTTATTACACCTGCTCACCAGGAGCCATAAATACATTGACAGCATTTGTTGGGGTTAAGTATCTTGCGAATGGACACTTTGACACGTAGACAGCATGAGCCAGGGATCAAAATACAGACCTTCAGATGACTTAAGTTTTTCATTGCCATATCTACACTGTAGCTGCGCACATGAGAATAAAGCCTTGGATCTTGACTAAACAACTTGTACTTCCTGAGCCACAGCCTCCCCTGGATATTACTGTTTCAAAGATAATTGGTCTCACACTTTTTTATTTTTGTCAGGTGTTCACTTGCGCAACATGGAGAGCTTCATCCAAGCCGTGCAGCAGGTGGAAGACTCCAATCCCGGTCTGTGCCCCCTGGCTCTGGTCCGGGCCCTGCGGAAGACTGCCGGCCATGACGATGAGATGACCATTCACTTCCTGGGTGCCTCGTATAGCATTGCTTACGCTGAGGTCCTAGAAAAAGCAATTCTTAATGCCTCATCCTTTAGCTTCTTTGACAAGGCCATCCACCATATTGTGACAGATTACGGAGAGGAACGAGGGGTGGTCCTCGCTCCTGATGGCACCACGGTAGCCCTTGCTCCTTTACTGCTAGGAATCGAAACAGGTCTGAGAGCAAAGGTGGAGGGGACACCACCAGTTGGGATGTTCCCTCTCACTTTAGGTCGAAGGCTGGGCTTGTCCTTCCTCAGCCTCCAGGACTTCCCTCCGTCTAATCGTCTGGGGCCCAACGGGTGTTGGGACAGTGTGGAGCGCCCTAAGTTGTTCAAGCTGTCTCGGCCTGCCACACTGGCCACTGATGCCGTCATTAATGGGGGCATGGATGGTGTTATACTGGGAATGGACTACAGCAACCTCCCTGCATCTGAACAGCCGCAGGCCCTCAGCGAGTTTCTGAAAGGATACTACAGTTATGTCCTGCATGAGGAGCAGGGTCTTGATGATATCACTAGCCATGTCAGCCCGAGGCGAAGGGAGATCTCTAGATCCATTCTGGAGCCACTCGATCTTTACAGCCAGGTGATGGAGACACTAGCATTAGTCTGGAAGTTGGAGAAGACAGAGTGGATTGCTCTAGACACTGGAGTGGGGAAAGCAGTGAAGGATGGATTACAGGAATTTGTGAACAAATTCTGGGGTGAGTTATGAGGAACAAAACCCCTCTGTTTCAGCCCTGTTTCAAAAGTACTGATTCTGTGTCTGTAGCTTTAAATTCAAATGAACTGCCACTCCCCATGCTCCTCTGAGAAGTGTTTGGTTTGAAAAAACACAAAAGGTGCTCTACGAGGAGATTCAGGTGATAAGGTGGGTGTTAACTTGGCTGGTTATAGCCAAAAAACATTGTGTCATCTCAACGTGGCCAACATTTGTCAAACTAATCTTCAGACAGGTTTTCATATAAACGGATGAGGACAAAAATAGAGAAAACTTTTTTCCTGAAACTTTCCAAATCTCAAAACAGAGGGGACACATATTTATGTATAAAATAGATGAACAAGTGGATATTGCATAATAGGTGACCTTTAATCAATTGATCATGTGGTCCGTAAAAGGTTATAGAAACTTTGAAAAATCTTTATTATACGTTCCACGAGCCCCAATAAAATGTCTTTTATCTGCACAATAGTCCAACATTCAGTTTACTGTCAAAGAAGTGTATGGACTCAAATGTATATTTATGAATTATAACTGAAATATATTGACATAAGGGAGGAAGGAAGCTTTGAATTATTGTTGATTAAATGGCTTAATTATATTAGATTATCAAATGTTTGAGTCTTTGAATTAAGATTTGTTGCAGAAAGGCTGGTCATGGGCATGGTTAAAGAACCCTGTGTACAATAGTCTTTTTCCTTTTATAATACTGATGTTTTCTGGTGAACAGACTTAAAATATATGTTTGACTTTCAGTTATGTAATGTTTTGTTATTTAAACAGCAGACATATACACGATTAGCTAATATCATTCAGGCTATAGTTTTGAGTCTTGAACCTTTTGACAAAGATAAGCTTGTGGTTTTAGTTTCTTAACACTTATCCTCTTTCTCCTCAGTCTGCCCTCAAATCATCCCACGTTGTCAGTGGGGGGCAAAAGCCTATCAGAGTACACCTATCCCACTGTCTCTGCCCGTTCAATTTCTCTATGTTCACCACACCTATGAGCCATCCTCACCCTGTCTATCCTTCCCAAACTGCTCTCGCAACATGAGAGCCATGCAGCGTTTCCACCAGGAGGATCGTGGTTGGAGCGACATAGGATACAGGTAACTAACCCTTTAACTGATTGTTGTCAATCTGACACTTGAGAAATGGTAACCCTTGATTAGCTACTGTGGGATGGTTAAGGATAGTTTGTTAAGAAGCTGGTCACACAAGGGTTTTCGCATCTTTGTGCCTTCAGCTTTGTGGTTGGCTCTGACGGCTACGTCTATGAAGGCCGAGGTTGGAAATACCTTGGCACACACACCAGGGGACACAACTCCATCGGGTACGGCGTGTCAATCATCGGTAACTACACTGCCGCCCTGCCGTCCCACCATGCCATGGACCTGCTGCGCCACCGACTGGTCCAATGTGCAGTAGATAGAGGAGGACTGGCTGCCAACTTTACCATCCAGGGCCACAGACAGGTGGTGAACTACACCTCCTGCCCTGGAGACGCCTTCTTTTCAGAAATAAGAAGCTGGGAACACTTCAGGGAATGATATTTTTAAACGTCTTGTATGGCTCTTCATGTGATTACTACAACTGCCTGCTGCTTATCTTTCCTAATTTTGAAATAGTTCCACTGTGTGAGTTAATGCCCCAGACTCTGGATTGTTCATCATTTTAACTTAATAACATGTGAAATTAAAAGCACTAAAATCTTCTCACCTAATGATAAGTGTCTTTCTCCCAAAATCACTCTGAAGGTGAGGTTGGGGTTCTGACCCCAGTTCTGAACATCCCAGTACTGATATTTTAACAGCTACCTCTTGAGCGCAAGTTCTAAATAATGTGATAACCAAGACTGTTCTCACTGAAATGTTGCTTTAAATTGAGGCCTACTAGAGCTGTGTGGTTATCCTTATCCGGGGCTTGCATTGGTTCAATACTAAGAATCCTAAAAGCTCTTTCAGTAAAAATGTCTGATGATCTGATTTTCTTTATCGTTATACATAGGGTTTTGTAGCCATCACAAACATTTCAATGTATCAATTTCAACTCAGTGGGACAAAGCTAATTTCAATTAAAAAAAATTGCTCTAAAGAATATATTTTATGTAAGCAAATCATTGAAACCTTTTTATGTAAGAAGGGTGAGCATTACTTTATTCTGCAAGAATGTAACAGGGCTTGGTGGGTGGATGTGGTCCGGAAGGAAATTGGTTTCCTTTAATTCAGCTGGCGAGGGACTGCAAAGTTAGCTTGTTCGTCAGTGGTGAGAGGAGAGAGCTACCAGCAGCAGTGTTTCCTCTGGATGAGAGCAGAGATGGCTCCAAAGACCGTTACACAAGCTTTAAAAGACATGCTGTTTAGCCTCAGTAAAATGCAGCTGGAGGAGTTCTGCTCTGCGTTCCTGGACCGCAAGGAAGAGCCGAGGGTCAAGCGCAAAGATCTGGAGGACAAATCCCGTGTGGCAGTGGCAGAGCTCCTGGTTGCTACTTACACGGAGTCAGGGGCAATACCAGTGGCTCTGGACATCCTGAGGAAAATTAAATGCAACGAGCAAAGAGAGATATTGGGTGAGTTCAACAGGCAGTCAGATCTGTGTACATCAAGGGTGTGAGTTTGGCTTCAGAAAGGATTTCCATTAGTAGTTTTCTTTTCACAAGAGAGAAGAATTGAAGGGTGAAGACTGAGTTTTGCAAAAAATCTTTTTTATATAGAATAGATATACAACATTATGCAACACTATGGGGGAAGGAGCCTTCAGTGCCTGTGCCCCATCTGTAGAAAGTGTCTAAATGTATCCGAACAAAAAACAACAACTTATTTTCACTTTCATATTGGTAAAACCTACTTTCTTTCATGCATGGACATTTTTTTTGAAGTTAGAAATCAGAAACTCATCGTAACTTTTTTTTTTTTTTTGGGTCAACAATATTTCAACATTTAAAAAAAATGTTAAAACATGGTAAACAGAATGTATTTCAAAATGCAACATTCCTTGTCAGCATCTTTCATTAGACCTTTTCAAGCCCGTTGTTAACTCTGTATCACAGGGTTTCTGTTACAAATCAGGTCTTAAAGTCCTAAGTCTTACTTACAGTAGAAGATATTTCACAAAAGTTTTTAAGTAAGTGGGCCAAAACTGGAATGAAAACATAATGATTTAATCTAAAGTACTCTTATTTTCACCTTTTCTGATGATCAATTATTTTCCTTTCTATTTTGAGCTTTAACTTTAACTTTAATTTTTAATCCTAGTTGTTCTTTTGCATCTTTTTTCACGGTTGTTTTGAGTATTTTTATGTTTTTAAAAAAATGATCTTTTAGTCTTTTAAAAATATAGCTGAGCAAGTTTTATGTCTTGTTTTTTTTGTTTTTTTCCCATCGTGTCTCATTCCAACATTTTTGCCTTTTTTACACTAGTTGTTTCATTGACTTCTGCACTTCTGTTTAAAAATATTTTTAGCCCAAGAGACACAAGAAGGATCACTGCCATTGGTTTACAGTAAGTGAGATGTTTTGGATGATGAATAACCTCCATTCTATAACCCATCCATTCTTATCATCATTGCTGATGTGTTTTGTGCTTTTGAAAATAATAACTTGATATACAACAGGACATTTCAACATAATGCTTGTGGAAACTACTGGTGCATCCATGGCAACAGCTCAACAGGACAAGCTGAAATACTCAGGTAAAAACGAATTTATATTTACAGTATACAGTATCTACCAATCTATAGTGTTAGTCAATCAATAGATTGAAATGACTGTTGCCATATTCCCACTCTGTCCTTTTTTACTTTATAAAGGTATTAATGCCTCAAACGCCATGGCAGAGATTGACCTGGAGGATATGAAGACATACAAATCCATCATCAAAGAGGTGGCTTTTGAGAAAAAAGTTGATCCAGCGCTCATTGCTGCCATCATCTCTCGACAATCCAGGGCTGGAAAGACCCTGAATAAAGGATGGGGCTGCACTAACACCTTTGGGCTGATGCAGGTAATAACAAAACTGCTTTAATGAATCCCTCCCTAAAAGTCTCTAATGTTAACGTTACAATCGCAGTTCAGTGTTTATTTCAACTTCCTTAACAAATATGTTTGGTAGATTCTCATCACTTCAGATCAACGCGAGCACATCGGAACAGATTTATTGGCCAGCAAGGAGCACATCTGCAAAGGAACCGACATCCTGATTAATTTCTTGTTACGAATCAAGCATGCACATCCTGACTGGAGCAAGGAGCAGCAGCTGAAAGGTCAAACCGGACTTTCTCATTTATTTATCTATTGTTTATTTTAGTTTTGTCCTGTTAGTCTGTACAACACTCTCTTACATTTTGGCTACATGGTCTGTTTTGGTTACATTTGTGGTTTAAAGTGAAGATCAACTATGTATGGCTTGTCAATTGATGTACAATAGTAGAGACTAAGCTGAACACTAGTAGCTTTGAACTGTTGAACATTTGTAACTGTGGTTCCTATCAATGTAACAAATGTATTTTCTATGTGTCTTCAATCAAAATACGAAAAAAACTTTCTGACAAACTACCATCCCTCTTTATATTTTCCTTTGTTCTCATTTGTATTTTGTCTCTGCAGGAGGGATAGCGGCCTACAGTGCAGGAGATGGGAACATCCACTCCTATGAAACGGTCGACTCCAAAACCCCGAATGGCGACTTCTCCAATGATGTCATTGCCAGAGCTCAGTGGTACAAGACTGACGGTGGCTTTTAATCCCTGCAGCTCCTTAAGATCATATCAATGAAACAATGTTGTTATTCACACCCTTAGCCAAATGAGCAAAACCATGTCTTTAACGATTGCATTCTAAAATAAAACATAAAAAACAGGGTCATTCCTCTTTTAAATCCATATTGACGTATTTTTCCATAAGTATAACTGTTGAATAAAAAGTGAATGATTGAGAACAAAGATTAGCCTACCAGTTAGTCTCAAAAAGATTGTTTCAAACTTGGCTGTGAATGATCTGTACAAGTGTATAAACCGGGGTATGAACCATTAATAAAATAATTCATTTAACTTTTGTCTTTTACTCATGTAACCTTCTATTTTTTTAGTTTAGTCAGTATACAACTGCAAAATACTGTCCTACTGTTTCTTACTTGATGGAAATGTTGCTTTCTCAAGTTTTGTCGGGTGGGATTAATGGAGTTTATCCGTTTAGATATCGGAATGGAAAAAAGGAAACTTGCAGCAATTTCCTGTTGTACTCAGTGCTGAACTTTTGTGCATCATCAACGATAAAAGAAAGGATTTTTATTTTGTGTAAGCTGAGAAATTAGTGAAATGCACTAGAAGTGTCCTGAATTAGAGTGACTTTAAAAGATTTATCATGGAGCTTATTACTTCTTTTTTTTTTAGCAAGGACTAAATATGAAACTTATGTGCAAACATCAGCATTTGTTCAATTGAAGAAGGAGATAGTGGAATTTTCACAAATCATGCAACATTATACATTTACTGTTGTATCTGTCTACATGCGAGTGCTCTGCCCTGCTACAGTCAGTGGGGGCAGTTTCTTGTAAATCAGCTGGTTTCATCTTTCTCCACCTTTTTCACTAGGAAACCCACCCAGGCCCATTCTCCCCATCTGCTGGAGAGAGCAGTCCACACGGAAATGAAAGTAAACATACCAGGCTTTAAAACAAAAGGGACGAGGTGTACATCTCCCACTTTAAAGTTTTATAGCTTTTACTTGAAAAAAAAGGCCTCAGATGTTGTTTATGCAAATGCAAATTAACTTTAAGTTTTGTTAGGAATATTTGACACCAGAGTCAAACCTTTAAAACATATAGCTCATAAGATTAAACTTTGGCACAGGACCCCTTTAAAAGTCATGGCCACAATATGTAAATGCTTATAAAATGATTTTTTTTTTTTAAGTTGTTGATATGTGAAGGGTGAGAATTTCTTTGATTCACAGGATTGTATCTTTTCAGACTACACAGACTGTGTATGTAATAGTGGCTCATGTTTGTAAAAATGATTTGGTTATGTAACTGTAGAGTTCCTTCAAGTCCTCTAGCAATGTCCTTATGTTGGTAACAACTGATTGTAGCGGCCAAAACCATATAAACTTAAAATGAAACTGCCCCCGAGGCACCTGTTGGAGAGTTTTACGTCCAAGGATCAAGTTGCGATAGTATCCTTTTCGTACATTTATTTTCATGATACAATATCATCAAAGGTACATTGAACAGGTTTCCTATACTTGTCATTCAACTTTTCCTATAGCTTTTACTTGAATCACCCTGGTAAAAAAAAACATATGCCTATGCTGGTGCTCTAATCCTAGCACCACCTATCACCTGCTCCTAATATGTAGCAATATAAAACTCCTACACTGATCTAATCATCTTATCATTAGAAGGTTATGCTTGTTGAAACTACTGGTGCCTCGTGGGAAACAGCTCAGCAGGACAAGCTGGGATACACAGGAGCTGATTTGATGAGAAAAAGTCATTAGTAGCCTTTATCTAAACCTCTTTTTGTGTAGTTGTTCTTTATGGATTTAGAGGGAAATACATAGTTGTTGATCTGGGGCCATGTTCCTGTCCTCTGTTTTTANAACAAAGTCTTGGCTTTCAGAATATGAAACTTTTATTTCGAAAATCACACGATAAATACGTTTTTGAAGCTTGTAAAGGGAAGATGACAGGCACCTCTCACTCGCAATCTGCTCTTCCGCAGCGCCGCCCCCCCTCCCTCCGGCTGACATTATAAATGCAAGCGTATAGTAATCATAGATAACACGGCAGGGTCCGTTACAGTTTGTTTTCATCTGATTTCAAATAAACAAAGTCTTGGCTTTCAGAANCGGCCCTTTTTGAGCTTTTTCTGGTGCCTGAGAGGAGGTTCGACCATGTCTGGTCGGCCTCGTGTGGACCCTCTCGCCTTTGCACCACCTCGACGGCGGTTTCGGACGTCGCCCATGCCTTCATCGGCCCGTGGGTGGCGCGCTCCGGGACCCTGTCTGGCCTCTTCCACTGCCAAACATTACTTTGACCTGTTACATCAGAGAGGGCTGTTTCTTTGAAATTAGCTGGTATCATTTGAATTTCCTTTGCTTTTATCGATGCCAACCACCTCACAAAGGGGGGAGTCATAGTGAAACTGAAAGTAAGCATGCCTTATATTATATATCCTGCAACCCTGCAACAGATTCTCTTGATGAGAAGGAAACCACAAGAAGACAAAACAGGTGGGTGCCTGTGTTCATTTAACTTTGATACCATTTAAAGGTGGGGTAGGTAATTCACTTCAGAAACACTTTTTGTTATATTCCATGTGTAACAGATGTAAATATGCAGTGAGGTTTATTTAATTTCATTTTGTATAATCACACAAATTCTGTGTTTTATATTATTTTAATCTGTGTTCTTCATTTTATTGAATGTTAAATACCTGGGAAGGTCGGAGATCAGTGGGCGGAACCCCTGAAGTGTGGTCGCTGTGCGGGAAATGTATGCTGATCGTTTTATCTGTTGTCAGGTACGTGGCCCTTTTTGTAAACGTTCCACGTGAGAGGAGTCACTGTGAGGGAAATTGATGAAACTGATCGTTTAATCTGTTGTCAGTCATTAAACAGAGATCGTCTCAATTTTGTCACGATGATCTTAGTAATTGGATGTCTGTTTTTTAATAGAAAAGAAGCAGAGCAAATGGCCGAACACCATAGGAGAAACTCTGTTTTTAAACTTAAAACTGCTGTACTCGATGTTTATACCGCCTTAAACCACTGGGTGCGTTTGATTGGGAGAGAAGACCTCTGCAGATAATTCGGCTCAGAGTAAAAATATCATAAAATACAAGATCTTAAGTTATCATAGAAAAAAGCTGAGCTAATGCTTGCTTGCAGCCCCTCCATTAAATGTCAGCCAAACTAGAGACACTCTGATTTCTAACTATACTGATTTATTTAGGTTTACTCACCGGATCCGTTTGTTTTAGACAGCAGGAGACATCTGCAGATAAATACTTTGACTCCCAGTAAAACAAAACCCTTGAATGATGAACAATGAAGGAAGCTGTCGACAATAGACGGTGTATTATAGTTTTAATTTAGAGACCCCTAGTGGCAGACGATGACGGTGTGTCCCCTCAGGATCCCACACTTTGCAGCCTTCTCCAGGTGAGTTATAATTAGCTGAAAAGGAAAAAAAGTAGTATACTGTACACTGTAGTCTTGTGTAAATAAGGCCTACTTAAATGCAATGTATTCAGAGCCATTACTTACATTTTAAGCAAACTGCTTTCAAAGTGAGAGCGATGTCACGTCATTAGAACATTTCTCTTGTAAACTGAAGTTATTGGCCATTATTGTTCGATATTGGCACTCATTATTTAACTTATTTTCTAGTAATTTGTTTTCCCTTTATTCCTTTCCAAGTATCCAGGCTTTATAAATCAAAGCCTAGAATAAACTCTCAAGTGGACGAATAAAGGAGAAACATGGGAAATGGTAAGAGCTTGTGTTGTTTTACTCTTCTGCTGATGAGACAAGTAACAGTCTACATACATTATATATTTTGCTGTGCTACGTGTAGGCTGAGATTCACATTTAAAACGTACCTTTACTCAAGGTCCTTTTTGATTCCATGTTGTCTGCTTTCTATCAGTACATTTTCCTGAGCTCCTCATGCTTTCTAGGTGTGTTAATGAAAAGTAATCTGCAGTAATAGGCTACATATTTGGAGGTAATGGCGACATCATGAGAGTTGAAACAGATGGTGCCTCAAGGGAAACAGCTCGAGCGGATTATGGGAACGACAGAAAAGGTACACTCTGCAGTGTAGAAACACAGGAGCTGATTTGATATTTACAGTACAACTACTTCAATATTTTGACAATGATAGATGAGAGTTTGTTGCAAAAAGGCCAAATTCCTGTTCTTGGTTTGATATCTATTAGGTGGAAGGTCTGTATCACGTGACATGGCACAGACTGATGCAGACAGAATGAAAAAGTACAGGTCTAAAATCAACAGAGTGGCAAAAAAACATAACATTGATCCAGCTCTCATCGCTGCCATCATCTCCAGAGAGTCCAGGGCTGGAGCAGCACTGACAGATGGCTGGGGAGACTGGGACACAGAAAGAGGAGCCTATAATGCCTGGGGACTGATGCAGGTCGTTTTAAATTATATTGTTTTACTCACATCCTCTTTGTGGAGCCTCACATTACATTGAAATAACAACATGTGTTTTATCCCATTTCTATAGGTTGATGTTAATCCAGATGGAGGTGCACACGATCCAGAGGTTGATTGGGACAGCGAGGAACACCTCAGCCAGGCCACCGAAATATTGGTTGATTTTATTAAAATAATCCAGAACAAATTTCCTAATTGGAGCAGGGAGCAGCAGCTGAAAGGTTTGTTTTACTGAATCAGTAGACCGTAGTGCACCAACTCTGTTCAAACTTTTAATTAGGTTTGTTCTTATTTGTGTTTATTTCTCCGCAGGAGGGATAGTAGCCTACAATGTAGGGGATGGTAAAGTCAAGAACTATAAAGCTGTGGATTACTACACAACACATGGAGACTACTCAAATGATGTTGTTGCCAAAGCTCATTGGTACAAAGAAAAAAGGGACTATTAAAGCCTTTTTAAAAGCTGTTCATCACAAGAAAAAATGAAGTAAATGATGAATGAAAACCCTGCTGTGTTATTTGTCAAAACTAAATAAACATAATTCAAAAGTAAACACTGTATTTAATATGAGAGAAACTCAGAGTACTTGGTTTTTCTGGAAAAGAGTTTTCTGTCCTGAATGTAATGCCGCTGGTTTCGTAAAAAGGATGGGTCAGGGTCAGCGGTAGTTGCAGTGGTGCTCCTGGTGCTGCCGGAGGTCCACTTTGTGCTGGAAGCCGTGGAGGCAGCGAGGACAGTGGTAGGGCCGCTCGTCCCTGTGTTTACGGCTGTGGGTGATGAGGTTGGAGCTCTGGCTGAAGGCCTTCCCACATATCTGACACACATGGGGCTTCTCACCTGGAACACAAACAGAGCAAGTCATTTCAATACATAGGATGTTAAAATATTCATACATAAGACACTGCTCAGAGCTTTTGTCAAGCATATAGCATTTACACATGTATAGTAGTGGTGTTCCCATTTTCCTTTTTGCAGTAATACATTTCCTTTTTTTAAATGACTATTTGTTTACTAACTTAGTTTGTCCAAACATCTAATTTCTCACACATACAAAACTGTATTCTTAATATAATATAAGTCAAACAAAACAATTATACATGCCATTTGGAAGGCCTTAAATCCTAAAGCAGTCTTTTTACGTGAATGAAAAACTGAGTATGAAAATAAAAAAAAAACATCAAGACTTCATAAATAAATACAAATAATTATAAAAACAGCCTAAATAATTATTAAATTGATAAATTTAACCTAAATTACAATTTGTATACACATCTATGGGGATTATATCATAAAAAATTGTTTAATAAAGCAAGAATGCTATGCTTGCTTTTTGGTCAACAGCATTAATAGGGATGATGTGTTGGCAAGATATTGTTAACCTACTGTAGAAGAAAGAAAATGCTATGTGGACACCTGTTGGTTCTCGGGCTAATTTAAGTCTTAGAAATTAATATAAGTGATGTATGGAACATGAAATATTAATAATAATGATTCAATATTAGTTATCTCAGTATATTAAACATAAAGACGTGACACAAACCCACCAGTGTGTATGAAGGTGTGTTTCTTCATGTCGGACTTCTGGTGGAACCTTTTGCCGCAGTACTGGCAGGGGTACGGCCGGATGTCTGAATGTATGAGGAGGTGAGTGGAGAGGGTGGAGGAGCGCTTGAACACTTTCCCACACACTGTACAGCCAAACGTCCTCTCCTGAAACAACAGGCACTGTTTAAGGATTCAGGAGTGATGGGCCCCATATGTGCATGAATTTGATTATTTTAGTGGAAGATAGTACGATTATTTACTGACCTTGCTGGACTTGATGTGTGCTGGTGAGCTGCTGCCATGACTCTTGCATATGTGAGTCTTCAAACTTGACAGACATGAAAATATCTGCAAATAGGAAATGAATACAATTAAACGAAAGTGAGACTTCAGGAGAATAAAGGTGGGAAACCAGTTCAAATGTGAAAAAGTTGTTATGACCTTTGACCTTGTGCTTTCTTTTTTTCTTGTGCATTTGTATAGAAAGACTTGCTCCTACTTACTACCGTTAGGTAAAAAACATATCAAATTAACTTAAATGTATTTTCTTGCACTGCCAGTATAACTTCATCACTTTCAACCAGGTCCTGTTCAAAATCAATCGATCAGTTAACACAAGCTAGGTCTACTTTAAATGTCTCAAATGAAACAGAGGGATGTCCTACTTTGCTACAGATTGGACACTCTTGTCTCCCGGCACTGATCTTTATGCACCCGCTGCTCCTGGTCTCCCTCAGGATGTGAGGGTGCTGGGTCAAATATCCCAGTCCCACAGACAGTTTGTCTGGATATCCTGAGCGTACATGAGGCCTGGACCAGACCGCTGGTGCGTGAGGGCAAGACTCGACTTTCTCCACAGGACTAAAAGGACTGCAGGACTGAGCAGATCTACGGTCTGAGAACAAAGACAGACAGGTAAGTGGACTGACCTTCTTGTTCTGATATTCTGAAACTTTGAATTGATGCACTTTTGACAAATTGAAAATAATAAGTTAAACTCAGTTAATTTAATAACGGCTTACGCAATAGTCCGACAATATTTAAATACAAAAATATTTATTCTGGATCCCAAACAGGCTGCTTACCACAAAGTATTGTGCTTTTTAAGTCAAATTTCACCCACCATAAGTTATGGGGCTGAATGGCTGAAGGTCACTTCCTTTAGAGTGGCTGTCTGCAGGCTGCTGCAGTAAAGCGATGGGCACTGTGCTACCATCGGGACTTCCTGGTTTGGAGAACACCAGGGGTGTGTCCCAGGCCCCCGTCTTTTTTACAAGGTAGTGAAGCCCTCCTCGCTTTACCAAGAAAGAACGAGGCATCACACAATAAGGAGGAAGAACCGCTCAAGACCTAAAATCAGTCTTCGAGAGAGGGTAAGAAATACAATGCCAATGTTAGTTACGACATTCAAGTGTAAAGATTGAATGTATTATTGATTTAATATAATGGTACACCCTACATTTTCACACAGACCAGAAACTTCTTCGCATCTAAATCCGACCTAATACATATTTGTATTTTATGAAGACTAAACCAGAAGAAATGTGTAACACTGTGCAGTATTAGTTCCTATGTATGTACCACTCAATATACTTTCGGTATTGCCCAAAAGAGGGCACCAGAACTGTATACAATGGTTTGTTTCCTGCATCGGTGTAAACTCTGCATTAACATACAGTATACCATTTAACAAAAAATAATCAAACGCCAAAACATTTTTAGTTCAAAAAATTTGTAACATGTTATGTCATGATTTGTTAGAAGGTTAAAAATGTTGATGTTACAAATGATATCAAATTTAATTTTTGTGTTTAAATGGCAGGACAATACAAGGCCCTATATTAAGTGTAATGAGAAATGTTTTCTCATTACAGATGTTTTCAAGGTCTCGTGCCGGATGTTGTTTTGCACAGAGATGCTCTAGACGAGGTGATGTTTTTGGTCTAATGATTGTTCCCCCTAGCCCAGTTTACCAGGAGCCCCTAAGGATGATTTGTCATATCTACCAATATAATTCATTTTCTTATTTTTTGGTCTTTTAATTTCTGCTTGACAAACTCCGGTTAGCCTGTCATATGTTTTTGATCAGCATTAGATTACTTGACATTAAAGGCCACTGCAGAGATGTTTCTCGTATGTGTTAATAAGCTACGGTAACACTGCAGTTGAAAGCGAGCCAAATCTAAATGAAACTGACACTTAGAACTACATTTATCAGAATTGCAAATATATCTCTTAACTGCAACACATTTCATGACACAGTGTTATCACTCAAAGGTGAAGCTGTTAGGGAAAGTGAGGTGTTAAAAAAAAGAAAAAACTGTTACCTAAAAGTATTTTTGAAATAGTTAAATGATGAGTCTTGAATAAAAAAAAAACCCTGCTGTAAATGTTTTTATTTTTACCTGGATAAGAGTAAAGCATCACTAAACGAGGACAACATCGCTTTTACAAAATAATGGTCACAGTTTCTACAGGAGCTATTCTCTGAAAATAAATGGCTGGCACGATCATAAATGATAAGATTACTAAAGAGGATTGGCGAGACAGAGGGATCTGTTGAAATGCTCCAACAAATGAATAAGACTTGTTTCAAATGACCCTACTGTAACATTGATGGATTACAAGGTTTGTATCATAATACCAGCCATGTTGAATCGATTTCATTTCATTTTCTACGGGACGGTTCATTTTGTATGTTACACCTCTAAGGTTGTCTGCAACAGTACTCAGATATTAAAGTACCAACACAACAATGTAAAAATACTCCCATACAAGTAAAAGTCCTGCATAGAGTTGAAGTGAAAGCATCATCAGCTAAATATAGTTTAAAAAACTCTACCATTAGTTGACTTTTTATCACATAATACATTTTATATGATGATATTTAGATCATTAGAACTGATGCAATAAGAAGCATTTTACTTTTACAGCTGCTCAAGTAGGAGCTAGCTTTAACACATTTATTTATATATATAGTTCAAGAGACTCCTAAAATAAAATAACAGGGTTAGGATCCATGTTGATGTTTTAGGTTTTTCACTCTTAGCTTTCTTGTGAAATGATAGCCGTTGTGAAGGACCTTTTACAATTGTTTATATTAAACCATCTGAATTGTAGATGCAAAATGTTTACAACCAATGGACTTGTGAATCAAGATGAGGGGCAACAAAGGGCACACTGCTTTTTGTAAGGGGATTTAAGCAAAAAACTTTATTCTGTAGAAGTATTTTCACGAGCATTTATCTCATGACTTTCTTTTTACTTTGAAGTGTTTTGTATGCAAAGTAAATAATTGTTAGTTTGTGCGTGTTCTTACGTACACCTTAGTTGTTTGTTTGAATCAAAAATACATTTAAAAACATCAACCATTTTCTGTTGAAAATATATGTCCTAAATAAAAGATGATGAGATGGCATTAATTCAAAAACAAGCTCAAATAAATGTTATACGATACATTCGGCTATAAAGAACTTTACCGTTCAGTTGAGAAGGATAAGAGTTAAACTGGTGTTGATTATCGAACAAACATTATGAAATGTACAGTCAAACTAAACAAGTTATATGTCTTTTCCTTGACAGCTTTCTCGTGCCTTATATTTATTTGATCTGTGTTAGCGATAGCTCTTTAACAATTGTGTTTATAACTGTAATTTTAACAGATAACTCATCTTCTGACTTCACATTTAAAAATGATGTGATCTTGTTTTAGGCGTTTTCCCCTAATTACTGAGACAATTAAGAGAAAGATCCGAATGACATTATATAACAAGGTGATTATCACCTGAACTCATAAAAAGTAGATAAAGCTCATTACTTCTGAAATAATTCAACACTATTAGTTTGAGCCTTGAGGGAAAATATTGACACATTTGAACCTAAGTAGCTTTTAATCACCTTAAAATATAGTTTTCAGAAATAAAATGGAAATACTCACCAGACTTTTAAATTCCAACAGTTCTTCTTAATGTCACACACTTTGTCAACTACTTTAATAGTGATAAAAGACAATGTGAAGTGAGTGTGTAAAATGTGAGGTCAGTCTTGTTTGTGAGCCGTTGATCTTCTCTGCAGGTCCGTGATGAGAGTAAAAAAGGACGAGGAAGTGTCTCAGCTCTAACATCTCTGATGCGACAACCACACTGCTTCCTCACACACAAACCCACACACTGCACACACTCAATGCAGCATTACATCTGTCCAACTACTTAAAACTAAAACAATCTACTTTCTGATGCAAGTTGTTATATGTTGCAGTGGTTCACAAACTAAACCCAACCACAGATTATTCTAGGGAAGACAGATAAAGCAGATGTGAGAGGAAGAGCTTGGTGGACGACTTCTTCAGAAAGTGTTGACATACTATGTTGACACACACACAGTTACAAAATAACCATCGGGGTTAAGTTTGAAAAGAAGCTGGTTGGTGTAACAGCAAATTCCCTTGAAGGGAATTAATTGAAAACAATGTTAAATGAATTGCAGAAGGAGACACAGAAAGAGAAAATGTGAATAATAAAGGTGTTAAATGTGAAACACTATTAAACACACACCAATACTAAACGGATCTATGTTTTTCCCTAACAAATGCACGTTTTACTCATGGTTGAGTATCAGTTGTCAGATTCAATGTTTAAAGGTGGGGTAGGTAATTTTGGAGAAACCAGCTCGAGTGCGCTAGAATTTGAAAATACACAACCGGAACAAATCTGCCACTTCCTTACAGAGCCCCTCCTCCAACACACACGAACGCGCACATGACCAATGAGGGCACGAGAGAAGTTTGTGCACAGATGGAAGGCTGACAGGCAGGTAGGCCATCCAGTCATTTTAGCCGGGCCGGCTCTGCCACGCTCTCAACCCCCGCCTTAACTTCTGTAACATAGTGACATCACTATGTAACACTTAAAAACAGTCAAATTGTATGTGACAGGCTAAGGGGTGGGACATTTCTAAGTGGTTGACTAATCACAACAGAGCCGGCCAGCTAACCAATCAGACGGACTGAGCTCTGGTTTCAGACAGAGGGGGAGAAGAGGTGCTGCAGCACAGGCAGTATGAGAAAAATAAAGACCGGTTAAAGTTGGTAAACATGTCACAGAAGAGGCAAAAAATACAAATATGAACCCATTTAGCATATTAGGGCCCCTTTAATGTTAGCTTCATCTTTTAGTTTAGTTAGCCGTGCAACCCTTAGCAACACCTGGCAGTTACAGGGTCTGTTTACATATTCAAAACAATTCATCTCTAAAATAAAACATATTTTATTGTGTTAATCACAAACAACACCTTAATATAATGAAGTTGGTTAATAATTTAGCGTTGCTAAGATACGGTTGAGATTTAAGTTAACATAATCCCCCAGTAAAAAAACACAATCAACACATTTGGGCCATTACAAAGGCGCAATGTCAAAGTTTATTTTGTATCATTCATAGGATACACAACACTGAAATGATTTTTTCCCCCATCATACTGGAATTCATATAATCTTTACTGTCATTATATATATTCGATAACAACATCTGTTGAATTGCAAGACAGAAAGAGAGAGGGTGATCTAGTTCCTGGGTATGATGCTGTGGAAATCAAACGGCTGTCACATACAGCACATAGTACATCGGAGAAATCCTACTCCAGACTAATCAACACTTTTTGTGAGGAAGAACTCACATGTGACACACAATTTTGCTCTGCATTGTCTTTTCCCCCCACTTTAGATCAGGGCAATTTTTGGATAATCCAGTTTCAAGATGATACATCTGTAGCAACACAGTGTGAGCGTATTTCAGTCCACACATCACTTTATATTACATGGCTGTTTAATGAAGGGCTGTAGTGGCTGACTGTCAATTAAACACTTGGTAAACTAACATGAAGTCGCTAAGCAAGTGTGTAAAACGACCTACCTGTATGGCACATTAGGATGTTTAATCAATATCGTCTTGTGTAATGCTGTTAGCAGGAGAAACCAAAGTAGGCTGGTAATTATAAGAATAATACTAAGGATGAGAGCTTGTACCATATTTAAAGTAATTTACAAACATATCAAAAGGTTTTTGTCACAGTAGATAGAGTTGTATTCAGACAGTGGTGAGCACAGAGCACCATCACTGTGTCGCAATGTGTTTAAGACACTGAGCACTGATCTTACTACAGATTAGGGTTCATTTTGGAAAGGAAACTGATACTCAGCACTGAATAAAAGCTTCCTAAATGTCAGACTTAAATCTAAATTAAAATAATTTATTTAAAATCCTAAAGATTTGAGTTAGTGATTCATCTGACTTAGTAAGTGATGGGGATGTTTTATTGAAAAAGCTCCCAGCGATCAGATAGAAATGCTCCAAGTGGTTACTCAGAAATGCAAAAGACGAGAACACATTTTCCATTTGTTCACACCAGAGCCAAACTAATAATTGGCCCACAGGACTGATAGCTTCACAATGTTTAAAAAAAAAGAAAGAAGAGTAACGGGTCACGTTATACAATGAAAATAAGTGAGACCATGTGTCAAGTATTTCTGAAAGCGTTTACTGGAACATGAGAGAATGAAAGTCGCCTATGTTTTCAGACCCATGTTGCCTTGTGCATCACATGAATAGCATGCATCAGGTCCAATGCGAAAATCCATCTTTTCCAGTTAATCCTTTCATCCATCAGTCAAATAAATGTGATTATATGATAAGAGCCATAAATATGTGTTGTAATAAAATATGTTTAATGGAATGATCTTAAGGATTATAACTCTACTAAGTGAGGAATTCAGCCTACTGTAAGTCTGATCAATTAAAGAGCTGCTGCCAGTTGGACAAATAACTTAACACTCATTTGGTGTGACAGCACCGAGCACCCTTAACACTTATTCTAGTGTAGATTTCAGTTGCTACACCCCTCAATGACCAATAAAAGCTGTTATTTGCAACAGTATGGTGGGCAAACCAACATCCTCTTTCCTTATTTCTTAGAAGACTGCAGACATCCTCTTCTTTGACATTCCTTCATTTGGTTCACAGAAACGTTAGTAATGAAAGTCGGTCTTTTGAGAGTTTACAGAAAATCTGAAAAAGAAACTGAAGTGCAAGGCAAAGTCAGAATGGATGATTTTGAATCACAATACTTAGATAACGTCAAGCCTGCAGAGCTGAATACAATAAGAAATTAATTGATCATTGACACCATTTTGCATTGCTTAACTTCATAAGCAGACTTCCTCTTTCTCTGTAGTGAAAAGAGCGGTCACTGCTCTACATTTGTCACCCTGTTTGATATATCTATACAAACTCAACATCTTCAGTAAAACTTGACAGACAGTGACACAGCTTTAAATTGTTTCCTTATACTTTGTGCCAGTTACACTGTATATTTTATATTTCTCCATACATTTTACAACCCTTTTTCTCTACACAGAATATATTAACGTTTGATATGTAAAATATTTTTCACCCAGACCCTCTCTGTTATCCCTTTCGATATTTAAACTACTCTCCACTTTCATCGGCCCACATGCTGCAGTTTTAGCTGTCAAAAAGTGATATGAGCATTTGAACTGGAGAGTACAGATCAGCACTGTTACCTGAATTTCTTTGGGCTTGTATGGGACACTGACAATTGAAGGAATTGTTTGACATTCTGGGTGAGAACGAGGACTGAGAATACTGTCATGCCTGTCTGTTAGATATGAAGCTACAGGGGTTGGTTGTCTTATATTAGCATAAAGACTGCAAACAGGAGAAAACAGCCAGCCTGGCTCTGATGCTAACTAATTAAAAGTTGTGACTTTGAAAAGGGAAATACCAAATCTTCCTTTTACAAGTTCAAAGTAAACATACTAAGCCATATTGCATGTTTGCTCAAGGGATTAAGCTAGCTGCATCACCCTTATTTGTAGTTAATAAGCTAACATTAGCAAACACCAGGTAGCTCTTGCATTGTAGCTGTACATTTAATTGACATTTCTGAGTCAGTTCACTGACTTTATGATATAACATATTCTTCTTTGTTACTGTTACTTTAGTGTGCCATTTTAAAATGTCAGTTCATGTCAAAAAACGTTTTAAATTTAAAATGATGGATGAATATGCAATGGCTAAGCTAGGCTAACTATCTGCTGGCTGTAGCTTCTTTTCTTTTTTTTACAGACTTTTAAGGAAGTGGTGTCAACCTTCTCATCTTACTTTCAGCAGGAAAGCAACTTAATGTTCCTAAATGTCAAACAATTCCTTTTGAATTGCACATAAACAATGATTATGCGTTTGAAGAAAAAGCACAATAGCTCCGCAGGGAATAATCAAGTTATTCAATGTTCAGTTTTTTAAGGATTTGATCAGTCTGCACAGTAGCCGTCACAGAATCTATGGTAACAGGAGGTTACATGTTGACCTCTAAAATATTACACAAAAAAATACAGAAAAACTAAATAAATTCAAAATCATAGCAGCACATTTTAGTCTCTGAAACACTCACAGTAAGTAAACCTGTAACAGACGACTCGTTGGCACAAAGGACGGTGTAGAAAGTTTGGCCTCTGTCGGTATCTACACTCCTATAGTTACATATACATATATATAAAAAAAATAAGAATATCAAAATAAATTACAACATATATAAATAATTAAAAATGACAAAAACAAAAGATTTGGCAACATTAAGTTTCTTCCTTTCTTTTCTTGGGTCATGATGAATAAGTTTTGATATGAGGTGTTGTATTAACTCGCCTGGCTTCTTGTCATCTGCAAGCCACAGACAGACAGCACACATAGTATGTTAAAGAGTTCATGATTCATTACTGAATGCAATCTTGTGATATCCCTTCAGTTTGATGGGTTTATATTCCTGCACTGCACCTCTTCCTCTCACACTCACCAACTTTTCATTTCTGATACTTCTCTACTACCGAAAGGTAAATTGATCACTAATAGATTTTTTTTGTGTGTTTCTGCCAATTTAGAGCATAAAAAGGGAAAATACAGGATAAATAACTCTGAACCAATCAGGAAGAAGAGCATAGGGTAGACCGAGCATCCAGTGTCACCTTAGCTTAGGGAGTTATTTTCTGTCTACCCATGTTTCAGTCCTCCTCAAAGTCCCAGGTCCAGGTCTGCTGTGCGATCTCGAGCAGCGAGAGGCAACAGCAGTCTCATTGGCCCAGATTCAGTCCATATTATTGGGTGTTACATGTTTATGTTTGGATGGTGTCTGGAGTTGTTTGTCTTTGTCAGGGAACATAGGAATGGACAGCGTGGGGAACACGATGGTGGAGATGAATGGGGAGTAATGATCAGGAGAGGCCCAATCAATGCCACAATGTCTGCATCGATGTTAACACTGGAGAAGCGAGTAGGATTATACAGCCCGTGTTTACAGAAGCAAAGTCTTGTCCTGTAGAGCTCTGGCATCTCTTTAGTTCAAAGAAAGCAAAAGAAACCTTCACCCCCTCTCCAGGTCTCAGTTATCCAGCGCCTCGGCGCACACCATGCTGCCATACAGCTGCTGAGGGTCCGGATGTGTCAGAACCCGCTCCTCTGCCTCGCTGTCTGTGCTGCCCTCACTATCGAGGCAGGCAGACGGGTGACACTGGCTGGACAGGCTGGGGTACAGGGCGTTGGGAGGCAGCGGGCTGGGGAGGAGGTCCTCGTCCGAGCTTAGGTAGTCCCCCTCTGCGGAGGTGGGGCTGGTAAGACAGAGATCCTGGTAGTTGGCACTTCCTCCTCCACTGCTCACCCTGGAGCTGGGGGCGGCCTTCTGCCCTCGCATCTGCCTGATCTGAATTCAGAAAAAATATTTTACTTTAGACGACCCTACAGGAAGGTTTAAACTATATTTCAGTGCATTTTTAAAAAGGCATTATCGTGCTTTGCTTGACAAAAAATCCCAATACAAGACAAACAACACTTTCCTTCGTAGAGTTTTTGGACATAATTGAAGAAATGTAAGAAATGAATAAAAATATATATGCTTTAAAATTACGTTAAATATGTCTGATTAGCCTTTGCAAAAGCATTAAACGTCAGGTAATGTGCTGGATATTTTTTTACAGGTTGCAGTACGTGAGAAACACCTACTGAAAAAACCACTGACCTGATTCCTGCCCACCATTTGAGGTTGTGAAAGTAGGGCAGAGGGTCTTTACAGCTAAATCTGAGCAATATAAATCTCCCACCTGTCAGGTGGAAGAACTTGATAATAAAAATAAAAAGGATGTGTTTGCGTGTTCTCAATGTCTGCTGTCCAGCTCTCAGATTACGGTGGTAGTTCTCGTGTGATAGAAGGGCTTCCACCGCAGTTTATCTTCCCATGCATGTTTTTAGCGTGTTAACCTTGCATGCACCGCAGTGACTCATGACAAATCTCAGAGGTTTATCTTTCCCCCTATCACACACTCAGGCTAGCTGTAGGGCGGGGGGAGGGGAAACCAGTGGTTAACCAATGGAAATGTTTTGAATGCATCTCACTGCTCTTCAAGCTACAGCACAACAAGAACACAAGAGATTTTTCTATCAGTTTTTGCAATAAGAACAGGTTAATGAATATATTAAAAGTGCTTACTTCATGCAAAGCTAAACACACAAAGAATAATCTGTCATCATAATTTATCACTGTAAATATGATTCAATAAAATGACCGGCAGGGCTATACTGAGATTTTTGTAGATGGTTCACTGCTTCCTCAGCTTTACTCAAGAAAGTTTCGGTCTCATTTATAAAACCACTTGCTTTGATGAAAAATGGTGGGGAGAGTAGAAGAAAAGAGAGGAGCGGTAAAGGGCAGGGCAGTCTCATCACACCCCCTGACTTTGAAGTCTGAACGCTTCCCTCCATGTCACGCACTGCGACTCTCTGAATGAACAACCTCAGAGTGAATGTTGTGGGAAAACTTTGAGTCTACGAAGCAGGGTGGGAAAGATCATCAAAAACCAGACATAAAATTAAATGCAAAGTTTGTTATCAGCTCAACTTGAGATAAATGTTTTAACCAGACGGAGACCAAGTGAGCTAACAGCTGTAAAACAATACAACAAATCTTAAATGTCAAGGACTGATTATCATCTTTCAGATCTAAATTAACCGTAAACCAAATAGTGAGAAAATAGTAGGTTGTTGGGGGGAAAGCAGGGGTCCCTTATGAGAAGGACTACATCGACAGCTCAGTGAGGGTGGATGTGGTGTCTGTAGTCAGGCTGTAGATGACAGGATTCTTCTGTAGTGGTTAGCACTCTGCAAGGTATCTATCTGCATCTATCTATGGTATACACGCAGTGTGTGTTATATGTGCAGGCCATTTTAAAGCATTCTCACCAGTAAAAACTAAATCATTAAGTTTAGATTTTTGTAAAACATGCATTTGTCAGATGTAAACTTGATACATTATAACAAAGATGATAAAATATCCACCAGGAGGGCAGTTTGAGAGCGCAAATCTCGCAATGTTTAGGAAAGTGAACAATTATTTGTGGATCCGCCATGTGATTGAATCCGCTCCAAAATGTAATAGGTTCTTCCTCTGCCAATGCTAAACTCTTAGACCAAGGTTAATTCAAATCACAGCAGTAGTTTTTCTTTATTCCTGCTGACTAACAGTCAACCGAAACCAAAACATAACCTCTTTGGCCTGGGTTACAATTGCTGCAACTACACAAGAAACCTTTGCAGACTCTAACTACATTTTGAATCATCTGTCACTTGGTCAGATTCGTGTGTTCAACCTCATTCTTAAGCTCAGCGATCTGATCCCGCAGCGCGTTGATGTACTGTCTGGAGTCTGAGTGGTTCAGCTGGCCCTGGATCAGCCCTTCCTCCCTCTGTAGAACACATTTTACATATTTGGTGTTAAATTCTTTGTTGCAATATTGTTGAAAAATCATCCACACATATACTTCAACATCTACATATAGAGATTGATAAGCCAACGATAGATCGGTCTCAAATATCCAATTTTCATGTAGCAGACTGTAACCCTGTGTAACCGTTGAGTTAACAAAACTCAGAGCTTCACATCAGATAAGACTGGAGACATAACCACTTAAAAGATAGTTGAGTAGCCTAGTTGCTTTCATCATACTCAGAAAAACACATGTTTATATTCTGATATTTATTGAAAATGATCGTATAGCCAACCCTTTACACACCTGTATCTCAAGATCAGCAACCTTCTGCCTGAGTTCAGCCATGGCAGCCATACTGTCTGCTTCCCTCAGTCGAACCGCCATCACCTCCTCTTTACTCTGCATGTATGAGGGAAGAGAGGCAATAAATAACCTGCTTAACAGCTTGGACTACGTCTATACTGGATTTCAGGGAAGGATATTGCATCATAAACTGTCTACGTCTTCCATATCTTATTCCTTTATTGCATCTCTTAAACTTTTCGGAAAGGGAATCCCAGAATATAGTCAGAATAATTTCCCGTCGATTGTTCCTGAAACCTTTTTTATTTTCTGTTCTACAAAATCAGTATCTTTCAATTATTCTGTTGTTCCCTTTCTTTTTATATGTTTCATCACCCTTTGCTTGATTTTCCTGTTCAGTTTTTAGTGTCTCCTTACGAATGCAAATATATTTTACTTTTCATAAAGCTTGAACAAGAAATCATCCTTTCTACTTGTGCCTTCCCTCGCCTCCTGCTATTTTAGTTTTTCCTCTCTCATACAATCAGACCTTGCAGTCGTGCTCGGACTGCTTCCTTTTCATCTCGTTGAGCTGGGCCTGGAGAGCTTTGTTCTGATTGGCCAGCATCTGGATCCGGTCCTGCAGTGCGGAGCGTTCCTGATCGTTGCGACCAATCAGCTTGCTGTGGATCTGGTTCTGAAGTAAAGGAAGTCAAATGGAAGAAAGGTTGGTGATATGGTTGAGAATGTGATTCAAATCAAATATACTTTTTTTTATTCCGCAAATATTTCTAGATGAAAATAATAACAAACAAAAATCTGGTGTTCATACAGAGCCATGTATCTGAAAATGAGAAACAAACACATGGTCTGCAGCCGCTTGGGTCAAGAAAGAACATTAATGTATAAAGAGATAAGTAGTGGGAGGGAAAGGGATGGTAAATCTGGAAGGAAGTCCTTATTTCGGTGTTGGGTCAATGACACTATAAATAAAGGCTATTGTGTTTAAGTGAATGTCCACCAATCTCATAATCTCAATTTTGGGGCAAACTATCTTTCTTTTATTGTATTTGCTGATGGCACAATGTATTACAATCTCACAAATACTGAAATGATTCCCAAAGATAGTCTTAATTGTGTTAATAGACTCACAGTGGACATTCTCTTATTGATTATTTCTTTTATCATTTTTGGAATAAAAATTAACACCGCAGGGATGGTCTACTTTTATTGTTTTATCATCACTAACCCTATGTGTATTCATCTGTGTAGGCAAGAAAAGGACAGGCAAAGATTGTATACCCTCCATGACTGACTGACTGACTGACTGACTGACTGACTGACTGAGTGTGTGTGTGTGTGTGTGTGTGTGTGTGTGTGTGTGTGTGTGTGTTACCTGCCAGCGCTGGTTGAGATCAGTGACGGTGTCCTGCATCTCTCTGAATGAGCGCAGCGTCTCCATCTCCCTCAGCTTTATCTGCTTCAGCTCCTCCTGCAAAGCCGCCACGTTGTTCTCATCAGGCAGGCAAGAGCTTCGCTGGATAAAAAAAAACATGTCATGTTTACAGTTTAAAAGTATTACTTGAAATCAACTTTCAACCAAAGGGATAACAATAGATGAAATAATAAGGGGTCGATAAAGTTTTATCCTGTGGTCCATGAACGCCGGAACCAAATTTCATGTAATTCCATCCAATTATTGTGGAGGCATGTAACTGAAAACCTGTCAGTGTGTAAGTCAAAATATCAAGTGGTCACTTTCACGATTTGCACGAGGATCATTTTCATTAACAGAGCCAAGGATGGCACAGAGAAAGGTTCAGGGGATCACTAAAGTCAGAAGGCTTTGTGCTTGGGGGACAGTGAAGGTCTGCAAAAGATTTCATCCATCTAATAGATATTTCAAAAATGTCAGTCTGCACCAAAGTAGTGGAACAACTAACTTATCAACAGTTGACATTGACATGGATTAGAGATAGACTGCTAGCATTAATAAACGTGTTTTAAATACTAGTAAATATATAATAGTAAGAGAAGAAGGAGTAAGAGTTGTCTCAACACCTTTTTAAGTCAATAAGACACATTGAAATGTCAACACCAAACACTTTGTTTGGTGTTAACATTTCAACTTGGTTTGCATGAGAAGATCTTTAACACATTCACAGTTACATTCACAGGCCTGCAAGTGTCTCTAAACGTTCACACTCCCTTCCCCTCTCTCTCCTCTGTCAGCTCACCTTCTCCAGATCGAGGACCTTGTCTTGCATTTCTTTCAGCGCCCCCAACAGTTCGGCCTCATGCATTCTGGACTGCTCCAGCTGCATCTGCAGGTCGGTCACAAACGGCTCTGTGTACTGAACAAACATCACTGGTGTTACATACAGCAGGTCTATCATGTAACAGTGCAACTTTGACCATTTGTTGTTCAGCTTTCGGAGAGATCGTTAAGTATAGATATTTATTTCCTAATGGGTATACGGAGAAGACTAATGACCTTGTTTGGACCTCAACAAATTGTTGTTACTTAAATTGTTTTTGAGTCATGCAGACCGATTGCTTGTCATGGCTATGAGCTCAGTTATTTTACCACAGTGTTTCAAGAAGTGTGAATTCCTCCACATACTGCTGCTTGTTTCTGTTTCTGTTGTCTCAAGTTGAGTATTAATAATACACTGTCATGCACGCCCTTTGCCATTTGTTTTTGAGTGACAACATTTCCAAATAATGTTTTTACACAATGGGAAGGCAGAACCGATTTGAAAGCAGTTTATTTCCAGCCACACACCAATAGTTATTACACTGTTATACCTAGATTCTTTCACAAATAAATCATGAGCATCTTTTATAACATGCCACTTTTACTATTCTTTGTTAATATCTGCAGCTAGCCGCATGCAGCAACAGAAGGAAACTAATTAAAAAATAAATCAGCAGTTTTTTCTGTTCTGTGGCTGGTTTTCCCAGTACTAAGTAAAAGTGTGTAATGAAACTTCAAAATAGCTGGTGAACAAATTAAGTGTAAAGCAGCACATGTGCCCTGCTGACTCAGGGGATGACAGACATATAGAGCTACTGTACATTCTCATGTCACCACATCAAAAAGGTAAACTTAAAAAAGGGTAGGGCTGTGAGTGCATTAGAAGCACAGAGAGTGGAACATACTTTCCTACGAGGCAAATTACATTTACAAAAGATTGAAATTAGACAAGTACATAGCGTGCGTAAAACAGTATCGGTTAGTCATTTTGGGCTTTTCAGTCTTGGTTATCAAAGAGGTTTGTGAGTGTCTGGGGGTGTGTGAGCTCTGGAGGGTGATGGGTGCACGCAATCTTGAGATGGAATAAAATCACTCAGCATCTTGAGCACAGAAAATTATGTTTAAAACCCTAAATAATAATTTAAAACTTGTATATTTTTTTAAAAGGTGGGTCTAAACGTTATCTCTTTCTTCTGGCTGAATGTGATTAGCATTTAAAAAAGAGAAGGTATATTCATATTCTTACAGAGGGGCGTACTTTGCTGACATGACATGTTATTTTAGCTGTAATTCATTTGTAAAGAGGTTGCACCAGATCAGAGGGGTTGTTTGCGTCTAGCTTAGCCATTTTGAAACACTTATTACTTAAATATTCATTACAAACTGTTTTTAGGATGGGTAGAAAAATAACTGAACGTGTTGTGTATTTTTCACAGCCCGATATCACATGAATTAGGAATTTACGATTTTTTAATCATTCAAACAGTTGACCTCATGAACCATTACCTAATGTACGATTCAAGAGAAATGAAGATCAACCACTTCTGCCTTGTGAGAAAATCTTACAACACCAATAACTTGAACAGGTTGAACAATGGTTTCTGTTGCCTCCACAGTGTGATTGCACAGATTTGGGCCGGTGGTTACCTTCTGTTCTTGCAGCTCTCTGATGGTGTCCTGTGCTTTCTCCAGGTTCTCGCTGGCTGTGTTGCACTGCTGCCTCACCACCGCCAGCTCCCGCTTGATCACGTAATTCTCCTCGGCTTCCTGTGCCCTCGTCACCTGACCCTGGAATAGCAGGCCAGAGGGTCAAGATCAGATGTGGAGTTTAAACTTTAAAATGCAGACTACATACCAAAGTAGGGGAAAAGGATATTCTGGGCATCAAGGCAACATATTACATTTTTTTTTTACTTTAAGGAATAGTTTGAAATTTTGGGAAATAAGTGCATTGGCTTGCTTGTTAGCTTAGCTTAGCATAAAGACTGGAAACTAGGGGACTGTCAGTCTCTTTTCAAAAGGTTAAAATAATCCACCAACCAGCATCCTTTAAAGCTTGCTTAATAACATTTGACATCTCGTTTGTATACGTTCCCTTAAAGCCATAATGTCTCACTTTCGTTTCCTAATATATATATTTAAAAAAAGATATATATACATATATATAAGATTTTTATTAAAAAAGGTGCTATCCGTTTCCTCTTGTTTTAAATCTTTAAGCTAAGCTTACCAGCTGTTGGCAGATGCTTTATATTTAGCACACAAACATGTGTATTTGTCATGTTAAAAACAAACAAAGGAATCAACCGCAGGCCCAACAATGTCTAACAATGTAGGATATTTTATTCCCAGTTTGGTAAGGAGTTTTACTATAGAAGATGTTTAACAGTAGTGATACACATTTACATGCCACATGCAGGGATTTTATAATCCTATTAGACCTTATTAGAGTTTCAATCATAGTTAAACAGCACATGCATCCAGGCTTCACAGGACGGTCTCGTGGACTGAACAGATATTTAACAATGTTCTTTCATGCACTTTTGGTAGGGGTTTGTTAAGAAGAGGGAGAGAAGCAGAAGAAGGAGGAATAAAGAGGTGTGACTTCGGACAGCGAGGTCAGTGGGAAACTGGTTGGCAGTACTCTACCTGTATCAGTCTGTCTGCCAGAGCGGCACTCTCCTACAGCGCAGCGCAGAGAAACAAGAGGGTGAAAAGGAGAAGAGAAGAGAAAGTGAAAGACAGTAAACCACAACACAACCCCAGAGGAAATTCAAGGAAAGAAAGGGTTCACAGGTCAATCGTAGAGAAGTGTGTGGAAAAGAAGGGCCGGCAGTGACATCACAGAGTGTTTCAAAGAGCAGTAACAGATTAAATTCTGCTGAGTGCAGGAGCAGAAGGAAATCAATTCTAAGCCACAAACGCACACACACACGAACGAGATGGCAAAACGACAAAAAATCTCACAACTGTCAACCCTCTGTGTTATCTGTCAGTGTTTATCTAGGTCATTTCTGATCAATGAGTCCTGCGCTGAGCAATCCGGCTGTTACTCGCAATGACGCTGCAAAAAAAAAAGAAGATTTATTTGAACATTTAGAAAAGCTGGAATCAAAACCCGTCCCTTACCTTCTCTAGTGTCTCGATCCTCTGCTTCAGCAGCCTATTTTCTGTGCGTAACCTCTGAACAGAGAGAGAGAGGCACATGCCATTTATATTGCCTATTTTTATTTTTTATTTCACAAATAGTATTATTTTATATGTCCACATCATGCACAAATACATAAAATACACAAACAGCTGAGCATACACACCTTGATCTCAATTTGTTCCTCCATTTCTTTGTTCTTGATTGTGGTGTATTCTTTCTCAAGTCTAATGCAAAATAAACAAAACGGGATAATGCTAAGTTAGAGCAACACTTACATTTTTTTTAAAGTTTGTTGCTGTGCTTCGAACATAGAACAGGGATCTTGCTCTCTCAACACAACAAGCACACATCCAACACAGAAGAGAGTGTGCTGCAAAAACGTCAGAATCAGTAAGACAGGAGAACAAATCCTCCTGGGCTACATGAGCCTGTCAGGCCTGAGTCTTACTGGTCGTTAGTTGAATAATGAGCACTCTTACTTCTTCATCCTCTTGGGGTTGTATTTGACCTGGTAGGCCCTGAGGATCAGCTTATCTGTGCAGCTGTCAAACTGGTGGGGGATCACCTTCTGGAAATGCTGCAGACCCCGAGGAAATAACAAGATTAGAGAGATTAAGACAGACAGAGATGCTCATTTATATTTTATACAGAAGCAGGCAACACATGAGTTGTGAAGACGAGCACATTGGCCCGATTGATGATTCTAATTAGCTGACTTTCACTGTTAATAAAAGGTATATCAATTGGTATATCAATTAGTTGCAGAGATTAGGTTTACATACACATTTATTTTGATGAGACTATAGATATTTTGTAAAAAAAAGCAATAATTCTCTGGTAACAGATTGTGACATTTGTAGATTTGTTGCTTTCTTTGGCAAAAAAGATAATAAAGTGATTGGCTTTTAGGTTGAAAATGTTTGTCAAATAAAACAAATAATTTGAAGAACTTACACAAAGCTATAGGGAAATTATAATGGCCTTTTATCACTAAAGTCATAAAGTAATCGACAAACCGGTTGTTCAATAATCAAACGCATAATCATTGACGAGTAGTCAAAGATGAAAAAAATGATAATTAAAAATGTCTTTTATACCACATGATACCACCAAAAATGTTGTGTTTGATTATATATCACACACACGCATATCAGGAGAAAATTCACCTGTTTGGTGGTTTATTTGTTGCTGTATAAAGCTGCAGCAGCTTACCTGCGACATGCCCTCCATGTCCAGCTGAATGAGGTCAGTCTGGTTGTACTGCAGGATGGCCAGGCCCACACGGAAGATAATCTCTAGGCCCTGCAGACAGGACATCATCTTTTATGATGTGTGCTCAGTAAACTCAGAGAACAGGTTAGTGAATTATAGACAGTCAAAAACACGTTTCCTACCTCATACATGAAAATATCGAAGATGCGGGTGGCGACAGGAAGAGGGAGGAAGGTGAGGAAAAGGGTGAGGAACCAGGACGAGGCATACATGGAAGTGTGGAAACTCTGGGATCGAAAATGGACGTTGAGCTCTGGAAGTTGCTCCTGAGGAATAGAAGGAATATGATTAGAAGTCTTGAAGGACATCAAAACTGAAAGTGATGTGCTGAAGATATGAGTGAATGATTTGCTGCCCCTGTGTGGATGAGTGTTACACTGCAGGCCTCTCTTCTTTACCTGAAGCAGATACTCAAACTGGTAGATGCAGAGGCCCAGCTCGGCCATGCTGGGTTTGAACAGCTCCCTCAGGCGGTACTCCTGCATCAGACGCACAAAAACACAAAACGCCTCCTCCTCAGGCATCTAGGAGGAGGTGAGAGGGGAGAGTAAAGTTTCCTCATTAGGTATAAAAAGACATTGCTTATGTTAAACAGTTTGTTGTACAGTGGGTCCCATAATTTCCTGCTAACCTCTAGACACAACTCAAAATCCTGCTGCATAATAAACAGTTTTTAGTAGCAGAGAAATCTAAAGGGAGTGATAACAATGAACCTTAGACATACCGAACTGAGCCTTCAGGCTAAATATCCTCGTTATTGATCAGTTTCATGACATATTTAATCATTACCTGCATAAGCAGCAGACCAACGATGAATGCACTGCCTTGGCAGTAGCCCACCTCTCGATCCACCAGAGAGTATGCCTGAAAGACACAAAAACACACACATTAGTTTTCAGATGTGTAGTATTTATAGAAAGCAGCACAGATGACATCTGTAATCCAGACCGACTGTGAGCAACAGGATCAAAAGTCACCAGAGGTCCATCCATTTCCTGTGCAGCTCATCTAATAGGAAACTTGACTGATGCGGAGCTACTCAACAAGCTTGTTTCCATGACTGCAAACAACAAATGTGTTCAATGCTTCGTAAACAAAATGACATTCGGAAGCCTGGAACACGCACAATGGAGAAGTTAATTACAGCCCTTCAAATCATCGCAGTTCAATTAGTCTTTGTCTGAATGGCTACAGGAAGAGATGTTTCAACATGGCATTCTGATTACATTCATTAGTATTATGATATTAAATAAATGATCAATATATTTAAGAGAGCTAATGAAGATTAAAGCTAAAGATTTGTGTATTTATGAGCAGGTCCTGTTTTGTTTGTATTGTAAAGATGCGTGGACATGCAGGCAAAGCAACACACAGAATTGCTGTTGACGCACAAAGAAACAAGTGCTCTGAGGGACACGAGCAGTGGTGTAGTGGGCATTGGACGCGGGGGTACGCCGTACCCCCACTTATTTGAAGCATGATTTCTTTTTTTAATAGTCTAATACATTTAAAATCATTGCCAGTGTTATCAGTTGCAAGTGTGTGTTTGTTGTAATAATGACGAAAACATAATAGGCAGATTTCACAGTAATTATAATAAAAACATAGCTCAAGCATTTATGCAACTTGATTTGAAGCGTGTGTGTGTGAGGGGCAGAACCGTGTGTGTAGGGTGACCAGGTGTCCCGCACTGTGTGGGACTGCACACACAGCATTTTTATTATTTGTCCCGCGTCCCACACATTGAGACTATGTCCCGCATTTGAGTGATAGTCGCGAAGAAAGGCCGGATCGGTTCGCTATTATTATATTGTCTAAACGGCATCATGTAAGTTGCGCTGACAGGCGACACAGAGGTCCCCCAAGCCCCCCCCCCGTTGACAGTTCACGAGCACGTCCATAGTGTCCACTGGACACGAGAGACTGCAATTAGCTATTTTAAATGTTAAAAAAAAGAAGCTTTACAAATGTGTCATGTATTCAACACATTGTTCTTGGTACGGATCCCTACCATGATTATTTCTATATAAATGAAATGAGAGTAATGATACAAAAATGATCATACAAAATGTGAATATTGGAATTGCAATATCAGTCGAAATAATGATATTTTTTTCTGATACCGTCTAGCAGAAAATTAATTGATTTAGTAAATGAGTAGTATTTAAAACACTGTACCAACAGTCTCAGTCTCAGTCACAGTCACAGTCACACACACACACACACACACACACACACACACACACACACACACACACACACACACACACACACACACACACACACACACACACACACACACACACACACACACACACACACACACACACACACACACACACACACACACACACACACACACACACCGTGTCACCTCGTCATAGCTGCTACTGATGTGAGATGCTGCCGTGCTCACCTTCATGACGTTGAAGAGGACTTCCTGCCCCAGGCTGTCCTGGCCTTTAAAGAACTCGTGCTCGGGGTAGGTGCGGGCGATGTCTCTGCGGATGAGCTTCTCGCACGGGGACGACATCTTTAGCAGCTCCGAGTACTGGTTCTTCACCGGCATGTCGGTGGCGTTGCCCAGCAGCTGCCAGACGATGGCCCGGAAATGGTGAGGGATGCCTTTCCTGATCAACTCCTGCAGGGCAACGAGGGACATTCAAGAGGATTAATACCACTCTCCTATATGTGGTGAGGGACACAATTTGAGGCATCTGTTGAGGATTAATTAATCATGGTATAATGATGCATTTGCATATCTAAATTACAATTATGTTATAATTACAGCCACAACAACCACATTAAGATGCAAAACTTTTCATAATTACTTTAGTTTTTCTCAAGTCCAACATTAAAAAGAATCACGCCTTTCTAAAAAGAGGTGGTTTATCTCCGTTTATCCCGATAAATACATTTGAACACAAAGCCAGACTCTTTGTAGGATTTGAAAGCAGTGTCATTTGTTTGACTGCTCTCCCATTTTGCCCTGACTCATTCTGCTGTCCCTTCTCTCATCCATCTTTTCTTCCCCTGGGTTTCTCCTTGTGTCACAGAGGACACAGAAAGACACAGAGAAGAAAGGAGGGGAGAGAGAGAGGATGAAGAGAGAGGGGTATTGGTGCAGTGAAACTTAAAGGCATTATTGTGTGGAAACAAACTCAGATAGTGAACATGAAGGTTTTTCTTCCACAGCTCTGGTCAGCAAAAATGAACCCTGGGTTCTCAGAGAACACTGAGCTTCAGAAGCACATGTGCACAAAGCTAAAACACAAACACTGTGACCTTATGACTAAGAACTGACAGATATGAATGGCCAACCAGCCTCTGCATGTTCAGTGAGTCAGGGATGGTTGATAATCCTCTTAATGATGCTCTCATTTGAAATGATATCCAATGACTAATTTTTCAGAAAATGTCGCCCGTGACAACATAACCTTTCATTTGTAATCTCCAGATCTAATCCCCACCTTCAGGAGTTTGTCCTTCTTGCGTCTCCACTCCTCCCACTCGTTGACGATGCGGCCCCACAGGATCCAGGTGTCCTCCTCCAGGTGAGACAGGTTGGAGGAGGCCGAGGAGCTGGACACCAGCGAGGAGCCGCTGTTGCGCCGGGAGCCGCTCATCGAACGCATGGACTTGGAATCAGCCTCCAACAACCTTCGTGAAGAGAGGAGCACACAAGACTACAGGAGTGAGCTAACTAAACCTGGTACACACACTGGAGGGTGGCGGGGAAGCTTAGATGAGCATTAGGAGTCACGGCAGGCAGATATCACACTGAGGCATGAAGACTGTGACAATGTGAGGGTCAGTCCAGTTAGTGCACAACCTTGTAGAGGGATCCAGAAGGCTCAGAGCCGTTTAGTTTAAACTACAGAACCAGCGGCTGCCCGATTAGGATATTACAGCTGACCAAATCAATGTTTAAATTGACAAAAATAAACACCTTTGTATACAGGTCTCTTATATCTTTCGACCAATGCTGCCTTGTCCAAGGTAAGTCTATCTTTCCTATAATTATATGACATATCTCTCATATGCAGTAATAATAATAATATATTACATTTATAAAGCGCTTTTCCTGGTGCTCAAAGCGCTTACAAGCAAGTAAAACAAAATAACAACCAAAGTAGAAAGTGCTAAGCTAGGTGGAATAAGGGCAAGGGGTTAGTGGATTAGGAGTTGAAGGCAAGAGTGAAAAGGTGAGTTTTGAGGGATTGTTTGAATGATGTGAGAGTGTTGGCAGATCTGACGTGGCTGGGGAGGGAGTTCCTGAGTGTGGGGGAGGCTGCTGCGAAGGCCCTGTCACCCCAGGTCCAGAGCTTTGTCCTGATGGGCTGCAGTAGGTTAGCTTCAACAGACCTGAGGCGACGGGTGGGGGTGTGTCGTTGGATGAGGTCACAGAGGTAGGGGGGGGCAAGGTTGTTGAGGGCTTGAAAGTGAAAAGTAATATTTTAAAGTCAATGTGGTGTTGGATGGGGAGCCAGTGGAGGTCATGGAGGATAGGGGTGATGGAGTAGTACTTATTCTCTTCATACTGTGCAGAACAATAAGCCAATATTGTAAACAAGGGTGTTGGTTACTCATCTAACTCGCCGCAAGAAAGCAAATGAACACATCTCTCAAAATGTTTTTGCATGTAACTGTTTTTTAGTAGTTTGCATCCTTGCGCTCTTTACCCAGAGGGTGTTGAGGCCCACTGTGACCCTGAGCACCACTACTCTTCAGTATTAACTGGTTGATCTTGGACTGATGCCCAACTATAAACATCTTGTTTTTGTCTTTAATAGTTAAACACTATGATCTGATCTCACCTGTTCTGCTCCTCCAGTTTGGCCAGCAGCTCCAGTTCATCTGGACTCAGGTTCTCCGAGTCTGCAGGAGAGGCTGCTGGTGCCGACAGCGTTGCATCATGGGAAGATGAGTCCGGGCTGAGCACCGGGCTTCCAGTCGATGGTGGGTCCTGGTCCATGCCGGAAGGGGAAGAAGGGCACTCCAGATGAGGAAGAGCGCTACCCTCCCTCTCTGGGCTGATGCTGGGTATGGACATGGTGCTGCGGGTGGAGCAGGGTGGGTGAAGCAGTGTGGGTGAGGAGAGACACTCTTCCAGTCTCACTGCTGGTCTCCCTCCTCAGCGAAGCCTGGCTGTCGCCTGATTGGTCACCTGGCTGGCCGTGGACCCAATATGATCAGAGGTCTTCAAACCTGTCATGGAAACAGAAAAAGCTCAATTAAATTACAGACCACAGATTATTTATTAAAATAAAGAGTTTTTTTTCCTCTTTAAAAAAAAGGCAACTATAATGATGTAATGTATGTATGTTATATATTTTTTTATAAATACCATTGTAATGGTAGACAACCCTCTATAACAGTCTGCCACGTGACTTTGAATACTTCAGTAAAATATGACAACATTTTTCAAGAATGTGATTTTTGGATTATGGGAAGACATTGTTTTGATTAATGGTGGTGCCAACCTCCAACAGACAAACATAAAACAGTCAAACACATGAGGGAATAAAGATGACCCTATAGGAAAGTTCCAATCCTTTGCATTTTTAGATTGGGCCCCTAAAAGATATGAGATTTCTTGTTTGGAACATATCATATCACCCTGGTCAGATCCACATCAAGCTGCCAACATGCCGCTCCACACCCTCACTCCATTAACTGCTTTGAAGGAGCGGCTCTTCGTCACTGTGGTGACTTCATCCTGATGAAAACATCCCTCACTGCGGGCACACTCAGCTACCAGAGAGCTGTTTGTCTACAAACTGAGATGAACAGTTACCCAGTGATGCTTAACACGGAAACAATGTTGTTATAAACAATGGTGATACTCATAACTTCTGTTTAGTATTTATTTCTTTGTCTTTGTAAAAGGGAGTGAAGGAAGGAACAGGTCAGCTCCACGCTTATACATACTGTACACATTATTCAATTAATATTAGACTGTACAGCTTCCAATAGGACTGAGCCATGGTCATACGTCATGAGTAATTAACATGCACGTAAAGATAATATATAAATCCAATTAATGATAGAGTGAGTTCAGATGATAACTCAGATGTGACAGAGCACACACACACACACACACACACACACACACACACACACACACACACACACACACACACACACACACACACACACACACACACACACACACACACACACACACACACACACACACACACACACACACACACACACACTGCTTCTTTCTCAATCTGTGCTGCAGCAGCAATCAGAGAGGCAGCAGAGGAGGGGGGCACGGGTTCCCTGCTATGGTAGTTATTTACAGCTCACTACTCGTCTGTGGCTGAACGACTGCAACAGACGGCCTTTTCTTCTAAATCATCTGACATAAGGTTGAGCCTCAGGCAGTGATGCATCTGCTAGTTACATTTTCACATCGATCCTGGCAGAGCTTCATTCATGACAAAGTGTTTAACTGTACCAAACACTACACCTCCATCTTAATACCCAGATACCCTTCAATGACTGGACAGTAGAGCGGGCTGATGTTAACTATCCTGGCCAGTCTGGGATACTTGAAATCAAAGAGAGAGAAACACTATGATGTTGATGAGGCTGGCTCTTTCTTGACAGTGCTACAATTATTATTGAGGAGAGTTTCTACTTCAGATCAATATTGGGATTAAGCAGAGTGAATGAGTTTGTATTCAGTTGCCAAAGCCATCATCGTTATTTCAGTTGGAAGTTATATCAGCGATAGAGAGTCATAATCCATCCAGGAATTATCGGTAATCGTTTGCATTATTTAATCACAATTCTTACATTATCTATATATTGTCTGTGAGAGCGCATCCTTTTTCTATCATTCAATGGTCACACTTGATTCTTTTAAATGGGACTAATCATGGCATCAAAAGAGACCAGATGAAATCCAGCTGTGTATCACAATCAACATGAACTAAACCTTAGCAAACCGTATCACCTTACCTTATATCTTAAATGTAAAACCAAGGACATAATAGCCTCTCATATCGGCCACTTGTTTGTTATACTTGGCCTGGGAGAAAAAAATGTATTGCTCAGAGCGCTGACTATCACAGGAGTTCCCACGGATTACATCCATATCACATTTCATTTTTCCAGCAGCCATCCAAGGTTTGAATACCAACAAAATATATATCAAAACAGTCAAAAACAACAACAATCTGCAAATGGTATTTAAAATCCACTACACTTTAGGTGCAAAAAAGCAAAAACGTGTGTTATGCTGCTGGCTGTGAGGTCTGGATTTCTTAAAAAAAGGACAAGATCAGGTTACAGTAATATCTGGTTGCCGAACTGAATTTAAAAACAAAACAAGTGCCATGAAAGCAGCTCAAGCATTGGCCTTTTAGCAGCAGGAGTACAAAAGACGCGATGCTTCAAAGAGATTTCAGTGCTATTCAGCTGTGTCACTGTGGTCAGACCACCACACTGTAAAAGGTGTGAGTCATGCAGGAGATCAGCAAAGTGATCCTAAAGTGGATTTTTTTTTTTCTTTTTCTTCACACACACACACACACACACACACACACACACACACACACACACACACACACACACACACACACACACACACACACACACACACACACACACACACACACACACACACACACACACACACACACACACACACACACACACACACACACACACACACACACACACACACACACACACACACTGAGGTAAAATAAAAAAATGTTATCAATGGAGGCTGGTGGCTTTGTATAAGAAATGCAGTTCCCAGAGAGAAAGGGGAAAGTACAGTGGTGAAACAATTCTAGTGGTACTGTACACTTAAACGGATATTGATTTTTTTACCGCAACCCGTCCACAGAACTAGATTGCTCAGGATCCGTGCCAATATTCCAGTCTGTTTCCTCGAATTGGGGGTGCATCGACCGCCATCTACTTAAGGTCATACACTGACTGTGTATATGTACGTCAGTCATACATCCTAATGACCTGAAATATCCTTGACATATATATATGAAGCAGACACGTGAAGTGTTCTATCCAAGATTAGAACCATATTTATTGATTCTCACATTATATTGAGCAAACATTTCACCACTAAAACCATGTCTTTCTGACCATCCATTACTTTCTCTCTCTTTCCACCCCCTGGAGGAAGTTGAAAAACACTCGGTCATTTCTAGAGCCGTAATTCTATAGAGCCGTCACTGGGGATATCATTTGCTCTGCAGGCACTCACGACAGGATCTCATTTTCAGCTTGGCACCATGGTGGTTCCCTAACACTGTTTAGTTTGGACCTAATTTGGAGGTAAGTGTCCTCTGGAGAAAAACAAGAAGGGTCTCTTAGAAAAACCACATATAGAGTGAAAGACTGAAGTGTCTATATGCTCTTAGTCGTTGAGGCTGCAGGGAGCCTGAGCAAAACTATAGGTTACTTACGTAACCCCAGTTCTCAGAGTAACATGAAGTGAGATGTCTCACTATGGGATGCGCCTCAACGCGTATGCACCAGAAGCATCAATCTCATTACGCCAATCCTGATTGGCTGGTGATCTTGACGCCAACGTCAGGGAATCCACCAACCCTATAAGTAGCTTGCGCCACGACGCAGGCGTCATTCAAAATAAGCACCTCTTCTCGCTTCGCCTCAGCAAGAAGGGCCGTCAGGTGAGACATCTCACTTCATGTTACTCTGAGAACTGGGGTTACGTAAGTAACCTATAGTTNCACACCCACACACACACACACACACACACACACACACACACACACACACACACACACACACACAGGGAGAGGTGTGTTGAGTCCAGCTGTGTGATAGTTGTATGCCTAATTTTGAAAGTTTGTTTAGTCTCTCCTTGAATGATATCAACGCGCACAATTATGCTATTGTGTAAAGTCTACGCCTGAACGCATCCAATGTGAGCTCTCACTGTCTACAGAAACAGACAGCGCTATTGTTTCCGGTTCTCACCACCCTGACACGCAAAATCACACACTATCTCCAGTTATCCAACATGAACCCACATCCACTGTGCTCCTCTCTGTTTTGAATGTTGTAGCCATGTTTTGCATGCACAGCCTCAAGCTGGATGTGTCTGATTTACAAAATACTTTTCATCGATGTAAAGAAGCTTTCACGGTCTCCATCTGGGCATGGAGACGTTGAGCCACCCTAAGGCAATTAAAATAAAACAGAAACCCTTTGATCTCCCACCTAAAGCAGCTCCATCTTATTTCCGTTCTGCAAAATAAGCAAAGACATTCACTACAGTAATATATGACATGCTATCACAGACATTCTTAGACGTAAATTATTGCCCAAGAGGCCGAAAAATAGACTGGAAAAACCTCACCAGCCATTTATAAAGTAAAAACAGACAAATCAGCTGGTTTTCACCGAGATCCCGACCCCTCTGATGTGTCACCCCCTCTCTCTTCTCCTGCACACACACACACACA